TAGCTTGATAACTCATTTCAGGCTTCTTTAACAAGCTGGTGTCTAACTTTGGCTGAGGTTTCATGCGGCGCTACCAGTGCTTCTCGCTAATAAGTCACATCTGAATGGAGGCAATGACACTGAACCATCTGTCAGAGCAACTTCTGTCTGTTACAGTGCTATTAAAAAAAGATCAGTGTCAACAGCTGTAGCCTGGTTCCAGATCAGCAAGTGTGACACAGGTTTGCGTTGATGGAGTATTAAAAAAAAAAAGATAAAAAAATAGAGCAAACAACAGAGCAAAAGAATGGAGGGAGCAGGGTTTCAGCTGTGGATGTCTGGATGCGTTTTTGACCACGAGTGAGCCCCCCAGAGGACTAAAGGCTGAGGATTGCTCTGGTCACACCACCAGAACTTGAAACAATAGAATATGACAAGCTGTGTTCTAGAAATTAGGATGACTGCCAGACCATCTCTGCCAGCTATCCATAAATGTTTCATGCGGTGCTGATATGGTAATCACAGGATGCCTACAATGACACCTTGTGAGAGTTGGATAACGATAGCTGTCTTTCAGGCCTGTGTGACTCTGGAAACGCTCCAACAGCTGAGGCACAGCCCGAAGAGGGAATCTACAAAAAGACGAATCAAAAACACAGATATAATTCTCCGTTAGATGAGTGAAATACAGGTGCACGTCTCATTAGCGTCGCGTGTCTGGGGGCTCGCGGCACAAAAGCATCCCTCCGACTTAAATATACATTCCGTTTCATGCGATCTGAGAGGGTCCAGGTGCCCAGTGGTGGCACAGGCCCAGCTGGAGGATGTGGCTGACTGGTGCTAAGGCTGGCATACTAACAGAGCCAGGGGTGCTTTTCATGGTGAGTTGAAAGAGGCTGGCGCTGGTTGCCGCACCCCCCCCCCCCCCAAAGTTCAGAGGCAGGAGCTCCAGCTGCATGTCCACTCGTTCGTATAGCTAAAGAAATCACGGGCTGGAAATCCAAAGGGGAACTTTTTTTTTTTTCTCTCCCCCCCCACCCTCCACATTCTCTGCCGGGTGTTTCATGACAGGAATGCTGATCTGCTGTCATTACACGCTGCGCCGCCACCTTGAGCCCATCTCCCTCTCGTCGCCTGTTAGATTTTCTCAGATTAAATGACAGTGTGAAAAAAGGACGTTTTCATACAGCCAGGGATAAAGCAGTTAAAGGCCGGCAGGTCTAAAGTACCTTAATGCATTATTCGTCCGCGGGTTGTGTAAGCCTTTTATTAAAGTGAAGCAATCTTGTCGGACACCTGTTGTTCTTGCGGGCGGTATTTATTGTGGGCCTGTGTCAGCACACCGTAATCCTTGGCTGGAGCGCGGGGCTGGATAACCAATGTGACCTATTCTTGGTCATCATAATTTCCTGAGAGAGACGGCGAGTGTGTGTTGGAGTGGCCGAGGTGGAGAAAAACAACGTGGTTTCATGTGTCGGAGCGCGCATTTTTTTGTGTGTGAGCGCGCGGTGATCGCCGGGCGCCATTTTTCTCTCCGGCAAGCCAATGTCACGCAGAACAAATCGCCTTTTTGCTGACACCGGTGATTTCTCGTCTCTTCTGCTGAGACGCGTGTGTGGAGGCAAAACAGTTGGGTCTTACCGACGGGGGGTGTTGGACATTCCCTGTGATTAAGTAGTAATGGCCCGGGACGTGACGGGGGACACAGGGGATTTCATCCGTCTCAGATGGAGCTGCTCAGCTCTGTGGTCTGTTTGCTACATCTAGGAAAGAGCATGATTATTTAAAAGGGTTTCCCTACCAAGTTCTCTGAAATGGAATTTCATCAACTCTCTTTGTAGACCATATCAGCGATAGATGAGTCACATACGCGAGAATCATTAGGTTTTATAACCCATACAGTACTCACGCCTGCCTTGAATTCCAGTGTTTGAATGCGGGTTTAACTCACTAATTGCGGGCTGAGTTCCTACGGTATTGCTGCGTGCCTGTGGTTTGACGGTTCAGATCACGGTTATATTATATTTGGACCTTGGGTAATGTAAGAGCTTTGGCACAATGCAGCGTTAGCAGAGGTAATCACGGACGTGTGAGTCTGCGGTGTCGGTATATCCCAGCACAGCCTCAACGGCAGAGAGACGCACACGTCTGACACAAACGCACGAGAATGAAGAGTGATCCGGAAGTATTCTACGGGAATCTAAGACAGAGACTTGAACACAAGGATACGCTTCCAATGAGAGCTATAAATGGTGCTTTAGGGACATCTACTGGCCAAACTTGAGGTGAAATGCGACACATCACATATTACAAATGTGAATCCACCACTTTATCTAAATGAAATACTGCCATTAGAGGTATATTAAGTCTGTTTGAGGCTCTTCGTAGTGTTCCTATTGTATCTGTAGATCTTTCATGATAAAATTATACCTTTTAAAGATTCATCGGCTGTATCTGGTATTCGGTTTATAGGGGTCATAATGTGGATAATGTAAGTAAGTTGGTTGATAAGTCAATTTGATTTCTATTGCATCTTTTAAAACCACAGGTGCGCATAAACGTCACTGCAATAAAACAAAATAGAAATGTTGGAATTGGCCGACGTCGAGGAATAAAACTGAATAAGTTACAAGCTACAAAAATGATCGATCACACAATAAAAGGGCTTTAAAGGGCCCTTTAAAGGGCTTTCAGAATGTGGGAATAAGTCGGCTAATCTGAGAGAGTGCGGTCCATGTATAATGAAAATGTTCCTCCACTTGTCGGTGAATTCTAAACTTCTTGAGAACGGTCATCAGCGACCCCTGCAGGGACGCGGGGTTCTTACCTCGGCTGCACCCCGTCTGATCTGAAATGCTTGAAATTTTAAAAACATCAATAAATAGCATTAAAGTTTAGCTCCAAAACAATATTCAGTGTTCACATCTTGACTTTAGCATCTTTATCCAAGATGCATGAAATCTTTTAAAATCTCATTTTAATTTGTTTAAACAATTTTTCCATTTATGAAAATTAAGGTAAAGAAAGAAAAAAGAGCTAAACATCTTTTGGTTATCAACACATTGAGTGATGGTAGGCACAGATGCATTTGGACTGGCCAGATCTGCTACTGCCAGAACCATTATTCACAGTACCCAAGTGCACTGTTATTTCTACTCAGATTTTTGCCATCCACCTTCACCAACATGACCTCAGATATGTGTTTCACAAAGATCAAGTCATCAGAAACGCCAGCAGAGGACGATGTTTCTGTACTAACTGGATAAATGTGACCTCCTTCAGTTGCTTTCCTCCAAAATACATGTATCATTTCTGTTTCTTCCTCTATGCCTTTCTCAGAGCCTATCTTGCCAGCAAGCAGGATAGGAAATGGCTTCAAGGAACAGTCAAAACGGAGGGCCCTATCAATTATGTCAGCCAGCCAGCCGGGGAATAAACCCTCCAGATCCAACCTCCATGACCACAGCCTGTTCCGAAAATCTCCACTTGAGGGCATTATAGAGCACCTCTTCCAGCTAGTAGTGTGACTGGACTCAGGCCAAAGTGGAGGCACAGCCTCAGAAGTGAATCTATAAAACAATAAATAAATCACTCTATGTATAATTGATAAGATGAATTATGACTAATAACATCACAAATCCTCCCAGCATCATCCAGCCATAGATTTGTTGTTAGTTACTGCACAAACGCGTCCTTCTGACTAAAATTTACATTCTGTTTCTTGACATTTAGTGAGATAAACTGTGAGGATGTAACCTAATCCCTTTCTTTTGATTACGCCTGTACACATTATAGGTACAAATCTGTACAGACTGTTCAAATGTAAAGTTCACATAACACACGTCCATATCAGAGTGTTGTTCTTTGGCCCTGCTGTTGATTTTTGTCCTCTAATTTTTTGTCATATTCTTCATTTTATATGATATGCTACACCACAAAATGGGAAGTTTGAAAAGAAAATGATTAGGTTATGTCACGAGAGATGTGTCCAAACTTCTAACTATCACATATATCTATGTATTCTTTGTATTTTATGGGTGTAAATGCTCAATTTAAGTCAACTACCCGCTCCATCTAAGCCCAAATGTTGTATATTTGTATATATTTTTTAGGCTGTGTACAACAGCTCCATGTTGTGTAAAATGAAAGAGGAAATGACACGATCATATGATAACTGAATAGATTCTACAATCATGGGAACCACTTAATGTGACAAATAGCCAGTGTTTGGTCAGACATTTCATTTGCAGCCTCGGTAATGGAGGCACAACAGCACAACAAAAAAATTCTATAAGCAGACATTCATGTAACAAAAAATGTTATGTACCCAAAGTCATCCACAAGAGATTTAAAAGGTCACATTGTGAAGTTAAGAAAGATTGTTTGTTGAGATATTGTTTTTTTTTTTTTGTTTTAGATCATGTTTTCTGTATTATGGTTTTGTATTGAGCATGCTTTCACTAATGCTGCTGAGTTTAGATATTTTAATAGATTTTTTTCTTATTAAATATTCCAATATTATGCAGCATTTTCTGTTTAGTGTCAGTGTTTTCAGAGATGTGTCTCCTTCAATGATCCCGATTTATCTGATGATACTGATATCTGTTTTGCTGTGCTAAGTAAAATGCTTTGGTTTGGCAGTTTTTGTCTTTTTTTTAAACCTCAGATCCAAAACAAATCATCCCTGTTTGTGTGGTGCTACGGCGTGTATTTTACAGTCAGTTTGGCCTAATAAACTTTCTCTGTGTCACTGAAGAATTACTACAGCTGATTAAAAAATCATGGCGTCCTGTTCGGAGCTAGCATCCCTCTTCCCTAACCCCAACGACATGAATGATACTGCGTCCAACCACCCAGTACGTCACGGATCACGTATCAGCCAATCACATTTCAGATATGGGATACGCCGTTTGACGAACAGCTATTTCATCCAATCACAGGGTAAAAATGGGGCTCGAGGCCCACCTTTCCCCTGCTTCTATCCAATCAGAATGAAGCAGTAATTATTAATTCATTAGATTGCGAAGGGGAGTGACGCAGTTATTGTAGATGCATAGATACTCCATGCTTTCCTTCATATGACACGAAATCATAATTTTTTTTTCCCATCCAGCTTTTGGTCGTAGAAATTCATCCCCAAAACACGTTTGAGGAAGAGGGACTCCCGTCGTCACCTGGGGGCTTGTATGACGGATTTCGACGCCCTCTGAATTTTGGATGCCATTCCAGTTGGAGGTTGCGGTAGACCCCGAGGAGCGGATGCGATAACCAGGACGAAAACATGCCGCAGCCCAAATCACGGAAAATCGCCATCCTCGGGTACAGATCCGTAGGTGAGTGTCCTAACAGATGACAAAAAAAAAAAAAACGTGTGAGGAGGAGGATGACTTCTCCTTGTCCTCGGGGTGGGACGCTGGAGGCAGATTTTTTTTTTTTTGCGGCCTCTCGAGTGAGTTTAAGTCCATTATGTGAGCGGTTTAGCCCTCCTATAATAGACTTAATTATAGGGAGTAGGATCTGTCACGCAACATCTCAGAATGAGCGCCAACAGATGAGATGTGGCCTTATGGTTGGAGAAGGCCCCCCACAAATAGGCTTCGAAGCATATATTTTTTTATTATCATCATTCTTTCTGGTCTTATGGATAGGTTTCCATCAGTGACCCCAACCCCGGAGCCATGTTAGTCGGGCCCGGGCTGCGTACAGGCCTGATGGTCCGGTGGTTCTGACTCATCCCTGCGCGCTTTGGTGGATCGCATCTCAAATCAGGGACGCGCAATCTGTGCGCAAAGGGAGGATGTGGAGGATAGTGGCTCACACAGATGGCTCCATTTAAGGACGGCGTGTCCCCCGTAAAGATGGAGCTTAACTCGTGCCTTTGGACGGGCATGGCCTCCCTTATAGGATGATGGGTTGTGCATAGAAACAAATCTTTTTATCTTTTTTTTTTTTTTTTTACCAGGATCGATATTCTTATAATATGACTGTCTACATTCAATCACTCAAACATCCCCAACTTGGCCAGAACTTAAGCCAGTCATCTTCATAACTCCAGTTCATTAAACATTGAGGATGTTTCCGGTCTTCTGTAAAAGGATGTGTTATCTGTATTTTCAGGAAAGTCTTCCTTGACGATTCAGTTTGTGGAAGGGCAGTTTGTGGACTCCTATGACCCAACAATAGAAAACAGTAAGTGGGGGCTTTATAAGCCGTCTCCTACACACGAACTGGGTTTACCCAGTTTACACTGACGTAGTAGACATTCCAGTTATTGTTTGTTTGTTACCATTTTTCCCCCCATTTTCTGTAGAATTCTACCTTCACAATCAATGAGCTATGTGCACCAACATATTTGACTGATATTTACAAAAGGGTTTAAAGTATCTCCTTGTAAATTTTCAGTTGTTTAATCCCAAAATCTTGAAATCTTAGGGATAGGGGAGATAAGTTGCCCTTTGTTGTTAAACAGAAGCCCACCAGGCTCTTTTCTTTGCCTCTTAAAGGCGTTTTCCTCCTATCTAAAACGTTTGTTATCTGGAAATTGATTCAAGAACCAGGAATGATGTTTAGTCACTATCAGGTAACTACACCTGACAACAGGTGGATGGAAATCAGAAGATCAGCAGCCAACACAGGTCACCAACTAAAGATAGTTTTTATTGCTAATTCTTCTGACAAACAAATCTCTCCCTGCTTCCCCGATTTATGGTTGTCATCATTAGGTCCAAAATTGGAATGAAATTCTTTATCATTGAATTATTTCTTAGTCTCTTGGTGAAAAACAGGTAAGTGTCAGCTTTAGCATAAACACATCAACACAATTCTGTTGTTTTAGTGAGATTTGACTGAAAGACAGTGAGTCACCGGATTCTGCCGGGACTCAGCCGGGTGCGATGTTCCCTCTGAGCTGATGTGTTGGAACACCACGCCAGCTGATATCGCCCGTTTCCACTCCGGCAAAGACAAAGAGAGAAAGAAGTTTTCCCTTTCTGGTTCGTTTTTTTGCGGACGTCTTATGCCCGAAGAGGGAACTCTGCTCGAAGTCACGTTGACGTGCAGAAAAACCGCCCGCAAAAAACTCATTAACCGCCCAAACACGCCGCCCCACACGCTCCAGAGTATCTCCACTCTAAACTTCACCTGCAGGCTCACACACCGCCGTGTGTATCTCAGCTGCATGGTCTGCTTCTATAAATATTCCCCGGATGCTTAATGTAAAGTTGTGTCAGCGTTCTCAGCGAGATGCTGCAGGCTGCAGTTTCCGCCAGTTTCCATTCGCCGCGTGTTCATTTCTAACCTGTCTCTTTCTTTGGATTGCAGCATTTACTAAAATGATCACAATAAATGGACAAGAGTACCACCTTCAGCTGGTAGACACAGCAGGACAGGTATGGCTCAGGTCAGGTTTTTATGGAAATGCAAGTTTTAAAAAAATTTCCCTAAATGATGTCCTTTTTAAACCCTTTTCTAGGATGAATACTCCATCTTCCCACAGACTTACTCCATAGATATCAATGGTTACATTCTGGTCTATTCCGTTACATCTAATAAAAGGTACACAGTCACCGTAGCACTCGAACGCCTCAGCAATGTATAAAACTGCTCCCTGTCAGTGGTAAAAACAAATGTCTCCCCCTTTGTTTCTTGCAGCTTTGAGGTCGTACAAGTTATCCATGAAAAACTGTTGGACATGGTGGGAAAAGTTCAGTAAGTGCAGCCCTTTTCCTTTTTCCCCTCGCCATAGCTATGCTTTTGGAATATTTGCAGCACCAATAACGTCGTGGCATTTTACTCCCCCTTCGACGCAGAGTTCCAATTATGCTTGTCGGAAACAAGAACGACCTACATATGGAGCGGTACGTCCAGGCACTCTCCAAAATTGGTTTTCATTAGGCTCACTACAGACCGCCATGCTCTTACAGTAGGTCGGATCACTGTGTGGTTATGTAATCATTCATGCTCTACAGGAATAGTATTGGCTCACATTTCCTCCATTTGAATGAACAGAACTCGTTGCTAGTTTTGCACTAGGCTGCATCAATTCCACACAACCCCCCACACACAGCGCAGTATCACTGGAATTGTTCACATTTTACAATTTCTACTTACAGCAGCTGCCCTCTGAAATATTCAAGTGTTTTTAATTCCCTGTGATTTTTTTCCCCCGCACTTCAGAGTAATCAGTTGCGAGGAGGGAAAAGCATTAGCTGAATCCTGGAATGCAGCCTTCATGGAGTCCTCAGCTAAAGAGAACCAGGTAAACAAACGGGCATCAATTCGTCTGAAAGGCTTCCCTGATCCATAACGTTTTAACAGAACTGAAGTCCTATTGAACCCACTGCGAGTAAGAAACAGAGGCTAAAAAAAAACTGCGAGTCACTGATTTTACAAATGCATTGTTAGTTCATAGGCACGGTTTACAGAACACAGCTGCATGAATCGATTGCTGATGCTCACTGTCGGATCTGTTTGCCTTAAAAGAAAAAAAATCAGAGTTGCTAAGTTCAAAACCTATATCAGTATAGTGCGATTTCAGATTTTGTTTAAAATGCATTACAGCCCTAAATACAACCTCCCTGACCCTCATAATGGAAAAAGGACGTTAATAATTGATGGAGAGTTACTGAACTGCATTTGCTAATCAATTCGTGCCACAAGTTCAGAACATGGTCAATATGGATGCGCTATCATGTTGCAACACAGGAAGCAGAGAGTCCAGCATAAAAAAAAGAGGCTTGACGTAAACCAAAAGGCGGGATTTGTCGCCGTTTGAGTTGTTTCCTGTAAAAAAAGCCTTCATTGTTTCGTGTGCAGTCAGCCAGAACTGCACCGGAATGGCACTCGCTGTATTCACGCTGTTCAGGGCGAGAGGCACCGGAGCCTAATCCGGCCGTCACACAGAATGAAAAACAACCCCGAAAACGCAAATGATCAAGTTAGAATCCGCATAACATACCCGCCCTCTGAATCTGGGAGCAAATCAGGACCCGCAAAGACACATGAGGACACACTTGAAACTCCCCAGTCTCACTGAGTGCTTAGTGGGCCTTCTCTCTTTATTTGATGCAGAGAGAGTTTCATATGCTTAATCTGTGCCGGGGTGCACTCCTCTATTCTGAGCCGAGCTGATTAACGGTTCATAGCTGTAACCAGTACATGAAATTAAGGCTCATTTCAATGAAGCAGAGTGAGAACATATGGAACAAAACGTTACTGTTTTTACTGTTCCGATTTAACCAGCCGCTAGCCAAACGCACCACATGGATGGAATGGAAAGCTACTTAAACTGGGAATAAATTAACCGTGAGATGGATTTTAATCAGCATTAAACATTTATAGCCTTTAAAGTCAGTTAAGCTGCCTTTATCGATCCGTTAATCAGGCTAAGTGATTATTACTTCGCCGGTGGTCCGTCATGAGAAGCTTCGACCAATCGCCGACCACATCGAGACGCGGGGTCCTGAAAGAGCTGCGGCGCGGATACGAGCGCCGCGCCAGCGTTCATCGCCATTACGCACGCCCATCCACGGTGTTTACATCTATCAAAGAGCATCCAAATAACATTAGGCTCCGACAGAGGAGCACCAATCAATACCGCACATGTAAGAGCGGCCTGTTGGGATTCGCATTAATCCTCCATGCTACTTTCTCCTCTCCGGTTTCCCTTGGCAGAAGTCTTATTTTCTGTTTTGTCCATGCGTTCACATAAATCTCGGACTTCTGGACCAGAGGCCCCGGTCTATTTTTCGCACCGTTGCCATGCACGAGCCGCATCAGCGCGGTGACACCGCTGATGAGACCGGCACACGGTGGATTTAGTGACCGCCACCGTCTGATTAAAATTCCACTTCAGCCAGCTCCGAGGCTCTTAACGCCGCATGCCCACGTGAACCGCAGCGGCGGTCCGTGCTCGAGGCCGCCCACACGGTCTGGGCTCTGACTGCTCGCCACTCGTCAAGTCGGCGTCAAGTCTCCCGCTTCAGAACGGACGAAGCAGCCAGCTCCGGATCAAAAGTTGATCCTCCCTATTTCAGCGCACCCGTGTTTGCTTGTTGTCTTTGTGTTATTGATTTTTTTATTTTTTTTATCCAGGAAGCAAGGTCGCCCTAAAGCGCAAAGCACAACAACCTGGTAAAAAAAAAACAACAAAAGAAAAAAAACCAAAACCAGATTTTCAGGAAATGCACAAACAGCCTCTTTATTGCAAACATTTCAGGAAAACATCACATTAAAAAAAAAAGAAAAACACAACTCAGAATGTTTCTCACAGGTTGCGTCTTACATGCCGTGTCCTCTATGTTTTCGCTCCAATCCTGATGAAATTTTTCCACCTACACCACACTGTAAATTCACTGTGTTTTCTGGAGGATGCATTACTCAACACGTGGATTTTTTTAGGAAGTCAGCTTATCGGCTTCAGACAAAGTCGGCCACGGCCGATCTCAGCTTCAAAAACAAAGACGTCTCTGGTGTGACCGAAACCGCGCAAAGGGGGTGTGAGTGTGTGGAGTGAAGCGTGTGACGGCATCCTGTTTGTGTTTCTCGCCCTCCTCTCAGACAGCCGTGGAGGTTTTCCGAAGGATGATCCTGGAGGCAGAGAAGATGGATGGCGGCGTGCAGCCGGGAAAAACCTCCTGCTCCATGATGTAAAGCCGCCCAATCAACACATAGAACACTGCACTGGGATATCCCGTTACTTGAAGGCTAGCTGCCAGTTCTCCACCTCAGCTGACTCCACCCCCAGGGTCCTAAATATCCAATACTGTCTATTTATGGCTCTGATTCCACTGTTATTTATCAGTATTTCCTATTCCCTTTGGTCATCCTCATTTTTCTTTGTGCGTCTAATGAAAAAAAAAAAAAAGGATGAGTGCTAGCTCCTTTGTCTCATATTTCCCACAATCCACCCCTCCATCAATGTGCCCAGCACCGATGCAAAACGTCAAACAGTGTATGGATATGTATCAGAAAAAAAGGCTGTGTTTTTTTCCCCTCACTAAACCGGCAACACCTCTATCTAGGAGCCGAGATAGTAGTGATTCGATGCATCTTAGCTTCTCTTTGTGCAGCTTCCATATGAGCTACAGACTGCTCCCTGTTGGGAACATACAGGATTAGAGAATTGTCGCGTCTGCCATGCATGAGCCCTGAAAACTGTTCGGTAAACACAGACGTTTCTTCTGATGCATCACCAGCTGTTTGGGTCCTCCAGTAAACGGCTCTTTTTCTACTTCACCACATCGCGGCACCCTCTCTGTCCCTCAGTTTGTTTCAAAGCGGTTACCGTCAGCCAAAACAAATCTGCATCCATTTTCTAATGTTGAAAATGTTGTACAAATGTTTTTGATTGTAATCATTAAAGCGAAAAGTGGTTATGTAAGCTGGCTGCTTTGTGGATTATCTTTATTGTCGTGTTTGCCATGAAGAAAAGCAGCTCAAGTTAGTTTAGTGGCAGTTTCCTGGGGTCCTTTTGATTTAAAAGTGCTTGCCAACGGAAGGCTGAAAACCAGAAACTAAATGTGTGAAACCAAAATAATATTAGAAAAATGTGTAAGCTAAACAAACCAGGAAAAATACATTAGAACCAATGAAAACTGACCCAGATGGACAGAATATCTGACCGATTATGACAGAAACTAGAGAGGTTAAACAGAGGAGGGTAATTAGTGAATGAGAAGTAGCTGTGACAGTTAACACGAGAAGGGAGTAGAACCCACAACCTGACTGGGAAGCACTGAGGAGACTAAGAGTGAATATGGGAAGACACAGTACATAGAGACAAGGATCCGGAAAGAAACGAAGAACATAGAAGCAAGGGAAAGATCAACCAAGGAAGAAACTCAGAGGTAAAGTCACAACAAAAATGTACTAAACTACACAACATTCAAGTGCACAATCCATAACCTATGACAGAAGCACCGTTTCAGTTCATGTCGTCTTTTTGCTTCCGAGTCCTGTCTTGGATAAGGTAACCGTTAGCATCATTTTAAAGCTTTGCTGCAGGTTTGGAACAACAAACAGTACCCATGCTGCATTTACTATGGGTTTAACAAAGCCCATATTTTATGTATAAATAATGATGAAAGAATGGAGACTGATTTTCTTTTTTTATGTCTTTAATCATCGAGGAGTTGGGATTACACAGTACGTTTCTCTAAAAATACCAGATTTTGTGTTTCGCACCTGGAAGCTGCCTGCAGCTGCATTCTGCTGAAGGGGCCTTCAGGGGAAACACTTTCCCGTATTTTTGGCTTGGCATCTTATAAGGTGTTGCACATGTCCTCGGTACAACATTTCATGTCAATGTAAGCATTCATCTTCAGCATTTTGCAGTCGGACAAAGCCATGCATTTCTGATAATGGCCACCTGCGGGAGTGAAAATGCAGAGAGAAGAGCTCACATTCTGGTTGAGTCTTACATCAGATTAAAAAACTTTAACCGGCACCAATTATTTGACAGTGTTATTTGCTCTTAAAGAACTCAGTGCATGTAAACTATAGTGGAGTTGCAATTGGCATGTAAGACACTATTCTTTACGCATAGAAATTGCTACTTGAGCACATTTTTATCGAGAAATATCACTGTGGTATCTCACTACAGTTTGTGCTGACAACTGAGCCGTTTCATATTTGAGATGTTTGAGACTCACGTGGCTCTCTGAGGAACTGGGCTGCAGCACAGGCGTCCTTCCCTGGTTTGCAGGTCTCTACGCTCAGCGCGCAGTCTTCTCCGGCCCGTTTGGGGACGCAGCGGTGGCAGTTCAGGGCCTCGCCTGCACAGTAAAACAGTCAGGGACGAAGTTCAGACAGAGCTGTCCAGCTCTTTATGGTATTTTTCAGTTTAACTGTATTGATGCCTGTCAATATTTTGGATTTGACTTGTGAAAGTCAGTAAGCGAGTTTTGTAACTTTGATGCTTCACGTATGGTTCTGACTGTCTTCTGTGAAGTGGAAGTTCATGCATTTCAGGCCTCAGGTTTTCTGAGACTGGGCTGTGAGGGCTCAATATAGGAGCGGGTTTCCCTGCTGCACAGCGGTTGAGCCCGTGTTTGTGCAGTGGAAAATCAGTGACAGACTCACCAGCTGTAAACAGCAGGACGGCGGATAAAACCAAGACCAACAGCTTCATTGTTCCGTATAGCACCGCTGCCTATGCGAGATAAAGCACACCACCGATAGCACACACAATCCCCCATACATGCAAACTTTAGCTCCAACAGGTTACAACTGATACCAGTCTGTGAATTAATGTCAGGTTTGTTAGATTTACTTTGCATCGCTTCATTTTAAGGAACATATATTTAAAAATGAGAGACTAACAATTTTGACACTCAACCAAATATACACTGAATGAGAAATTAAACTAGAATTAAGTTCATAATGCTGTTTCAAAATCTGTTATCAAAGAGAACTAACTGGACTGAATACACACAAGAAGATGATTGTATTTACCGAAAAGCAGTATCTAATATGCTCATACCTTTTTGTTATGCCTGCTTCGATCTCTGCCCGTGAGTTAGATGCATTCATTGGCTTTCGGTGTTTTTATACCCCTCCATACATTGCCCTGCCATGGTAACGTTCCGTTAGGTGCTGTATCTCTGTGTTTACTTTGCACCGTGCTCGCCCTGGGTACACTGTGTCCAGGGGTTGTGGTTTCCCAACGCCTTTTGTCCGACGTGATACTTCACAGATAGAAATGTATGCGCTGGTCTCAGAGTCAAACGGAGGATTATATTTGTTTGATTTGTGTCAAAAAGTGGACAAATGGGCGGAAGTAAGAAGCATTGTGTATTTGCTTGTTAGGCAGTGGCTCACCTTCTGCCTTTCAGCTCAAATATGTTTTAGACTGAGGATGTGTTTAACGGGATGTTTGAACTAAAGGGCTTTGTTCTACACTGGCAAGCTGGAAAATGGGAATTTGGTATGATCACCTCTATTCTCAGAGACAGTCTGAGCCATCTTCGACAAACTTTCTTGTCATTTCTTTAAAGAGCGTTAAAGGACATCCCAAAGCTCTTCTTTGGATGTTGGCTGCCCTTTCTTCCATTCTCTGTCAGATGATCCCACACTGCTTCGATAATGTGAAGGTCCGGGCTCTGGGGAGGATCCATCCCTCCATCAGACCTGTTGCCACTGATTTTCAGTCCAGCCCTTGTGTCATTTGGCACAGCTCAGCCTTTTCTCCCTGTGTCCTTTCCTTAACCCTTTAAGTCCTGATCCAAGAAAAAACAATGTAGAGAGAGTAAATAGTAATGTTTTTTTGCCTGAAGTCTTTATTTGGCCCTTTAACAAAACAAATAATGAACAGAAATCAATTTAGAATATCTATAATTTATTACCACATATTGTGTGCAACAGGGTTTTGAGCAAAGTTTTTACTATTGAATGATGCAAAAGTCTCAGATGAAAAAGATTTCAGAAACTGTGTGTATCAAATATGACGCATACAGTGTTTGTGGACAGCCACCCTTCCATCGACACGATTTCTGCACAGATCAGATGAAAGTAAGGATGGCTATTGGGTTCTATCTGAAAGGCTCTCTGGATTTTATGCCACTTTTTAAGGATAATAGAAGATTCATAAACCTTCAGTTCTCACTTTGGTGCAGAAAAATATACATTTTGTTTTATTGGAGTGTTTGATCTTATGCATGTTTTAGATACAGCACAAATAGCTTTATCTTGGAAACAATCTGCCAAAACATTTAAAATGACAAAGAAAATGATTAATTTATTGAATTGAATTGATTCTTTAAAATGACTTTAAAGAATGAAAACTTCCTCGACTCTATCGTCAGAAAGACCAGTTGTTGAATGTCAAATGCATTTCCAACATTTCCTAAAAGTGTCACTTCAAGAAACATCTTAGAATTAGAGAAATATATATATATTGAACCTACGACAGGTGAATGATAAATAGAACTTATTCGGATGGATTTAGCAGAAGTTAGAAATGTCTTACTATTGCTGATTGGTTTGAACATCTTTGTTCTACCTTTTTTCACATTTAATAATCTATTCTGCACTCAAAATCCTCCCAGTTTGGGAGGGTAATATTTAATTCTTCAAATAAAGAGAGGCAGTAGTCATACATCCTGTTAAAAATAAATCCTGCTTGTTTTGTAACCTGCTTTACCTGCCCGACCTCCAATCTGGTGGTGTTTAATGTTAAGAATGCGAGTTTCCAGGTTTTTATGGGTCAAGGTCTAAACTGATCCAGGGATCATCTGCGGATCAAAGGCAGAGGAGCAACAACAGCAACGGATTGCGAAAGAGAGGCCCTCCTACTCTCATGTAAGACATCTGGACTCCCCGGCTCACCCTGCTGCCCTGAACTCTCTGTGGCGTGTTAGCGGTTTGAGACTCAGATCAAACTTTTCTGTGGCTCCGTGAACGCTGCCCTTTAACCTCAGCTTTAGCTCCCTTCCCCCCCTCTTTGTTTGTTGTTCTCGTCATCTCGCTCATCTGGACCCAACCCAAACATTACTATGTAACCCCCCGACACCTCTGTTAAAGCCCAATCAAAGCAAAATCAACGCCTCTCCATTGTGCAGCGTCGTTTGGAAGCAAACTCCAATATCAGCACTGGGACTTGTAAGGGAAAGTGTCCATGTGGCAAAATGTCTAAACCCCCCATTGTTATGCCTTTGTTGCGTCCCCCTCGCGATAGCACCAGGCTGCCATTCAGCCATATATATCTGGCAGTCCAAAGTTTTCCACTCTTAGTGTGAGTATTTCGGAAGAGTTAACGGTGGAAAATGTCTCAGTACTCAGGAAAGGTGAGTATCGCAAGAATACACACTATTCCCAAACCAGTGCGGGCTATTCACAAACAAAAGATGATCACAAAGACACAAAGATGTTTCCCAGTCTTTGCAAATCTGTGTTTGATAGAAGAAGAACCCCTTTATTTCCAGCAGTATGTTCACTCTCTCCTCACGGTTGTGGTGAAAACAGATTGTGTTCTATGAGGGAAAATGTTTCACGGGGAGGAAGCTGGAGATCTGCAGCGAGTGCGACAACTTCCAGGACCGCGGCTTCATGAACAGGGTCAACTCCATCCGCGTGGAGAGCGGGGCCTTCATCTGCTTTGACCACCCGGACTTTAAGGGCCAGCAGTATATTCTGGAGCACGGAGAGTACCCTGAATTCCAGCGCTGGAATGCGCATAATGATCACATGGGTTCCTGCAAACCAATCAGGATGGTAAGAGTTTCTGTGCGTGTGTATGTGTGTGTTAGTGTGTGCGTGTGTGTGTAGAGAGAGGGGGGGGAGTGAGACCCAAGGGGCAGATGGATGCTTTTCTGGTTGGAAAAAAAGGCAGTGGGACATGTGGGGTGGCCTCATTAGTTCACATCTGTTCGAAACAACAGCAAAATCAAATTCTGATGAATGAATATTGTAAAAAAGCAGGACTTATGCTCCGGCTCAAGTATTTCTTTAACATGATAGTTTTCCCACTTGAACTTGATATCATCACCTGAAAGACATCCACACTTTACTTACCATGACTTATACAAATCATACACCTCCTACACATTGAAGGCTTAGATTTCATTAAGAGCGCGCACCGTGCAGCCTTGGTCTCATAAAGGAGGCGGCTTTGGTTGCCTGGAGGGAGGTGAAATCGATCGCGACTGACCGAGCACGCATGCCATTTTTCTCTGCAGCACGGAGAGCATTACAGGATGGAGCTGTTCGAGGGGGACAGCTTCAGCGGCCAGTGCGTGGAGCTGTGCGACGACTGTCCTTTTCTGCAAGCGCGAGGCCTGACCAAGAGCTGCATCAACTCCCTCAGGGTCTACGGAGACGGAGCGTACGTATCTGCGTGCTCAGAGGAAATCGTTGGTCAAACATGCCTGGAGCACGCAAAAAAAAACAACTTTAAACATGTGCTAACTCTAAACTGTAGAATCCAACCCGAAATGAATCAGTTTACAGAAATATTGCAATCACCAAAGGCTGATTGTCATCATTTACAAGTGCTGACAGTTTGATGTTTTCATATCCCCCACAGAGGTTAAGCTGATATTGGATAAACGTTTAATCTTTCAGGAAATAAACTTTCAATCTGATGTGTGAAGGACAGGAAACTTCCTGGGACTAAAAAGAGGCCTTTAGTTAAACCTACGGTTTGTAAAGATACAAACTAAAGTGCCTTAGAAAAACAAATCTGTGGCATCTATCTCTTTTGAGGGAGGTATCAAATTGATATGACATAATCTGCACTACTCCCTACTCTGTTACATTATTATTACATAAAGGGACAACGTGAAGAGAACGATCTAGGAGTATATCAACATAGAAACGTATCACCTAAGATACGATATCATGACAACCAACTTAAAAATATGCTGAAATTCTAAATTAAGATCACTTATGAAGGTATCATGACTGGATAATTAAACAATATGTGAACAGTTTTCATTGGGACAACTCCTGTAGGAAGAATCGGTCCATACAAAACAAAAAAAAATACATGGTACAGATTCAGTCTATTCCAGAACAGGGATTTATGTCTGTGTGCCTTTTTGCCATCTGTACAGCTGGGTGTTGTATGAGGAGCCAAACTACCGCGGCCGCATGTACATCGTGGAGAGAGGAAACTACTGTACACACATGGAGTGGCAGGCAGAGAACCCCAACATCCAATCGGTTCGCAGGGTGGCTAATTACTTTTAAAATTACCTCATCAACGTTGCAAGAAGGTCGAGGAAAGTCATGCCACACAGTTCTGTTTCACTGACCCTGTGGAGCTATCGCTTAATAAAAGAAGGCATAAATGTTTGACGCTGCTTGTTGTTTTATTTTTGTATTGAATTAGTCAACAACCCAAATAAAGTAGAGATTTTACTATATGATCAATTTTATTTCCCCTTATTTTTTTTTATTTCCTTTTTGTGCTCACTCAGTGTTCAACTCCTACTTAACCATCATATTTCATTGTGGAAATGCCTACAGGGCTATTATTCAGGTAATTGCTTTCTATTATACACCATAAGTGGAAACCTTTAAGTACTGTGCTTTTCCTCATACTAATGGACCCATTACTAAGTTATATGAGATATTCTGAACACTGCTGAACACTGATTATTAGCTACATGTGGATTTAATATATTCAAGGGTACGCTGCAAAAGTTCTGGACGTAATAAATAGATAAATAGAAATGCAACCTTAAAATCAAGCCTTTTTTAAACCCATCCATGTGAGTGTGGGGCAGTCAAGACAGATGAGCAGAAAGTGTTCATCCTCACTACAAACAGCATATAAATCAAGAGTGAAAGAGAGATATTGCACAGGTTGCTAAAACAGGTGTGTCTGCCTGGGGGAGCTCTGCTACCACCTAGTGTCACTCGTCTATTTTACTGAGTATTTCACCTCAGAGCTGTAAGGGTTTCTGCAGCATCACTACCGACAACACATCGAATATCTGCATAAAAAGAACTGTAAATAAAAAAAATGAAGATCATGAGAAACTGGTCCGCTTAATCTTACCAAACGTCTTGTGTGAAGAATTTCTGATCTCTTGAACGGATTCTGCCAAACATTTAAAGGAGAACTGCGACCTGGAGAGTAGTGAAGGCTTTGTTGTTCAGCACGCTGGTGCTGACCGGACAGTAACTGCACTAACAGGCATTTATTTGAAATTAAAACGTTTCGGTTTTTCATTTTCATGAAGCCAGTTTGTGCAAAAAAGTGTTACACCCAGTCTTGGTACTTTTCATGCTAACCGGGTAACCTGAGAGATCCTAATGAAAATGCAATCAATTTTTCTGTTTAATAGTGTTATTGATTTTTCTTAAAGCCTGATGCTGGAATCTGTTTTTTGACAGGTCATCATAATGTTTTCTCATGTCAGTACTAGGCTGTCACTGACACGGGAGTTAAGGTGGGGATGGACCATCCAAGTCCAACCACATCCAAGTTACTTTAGGTTCCACACCCACTGACTCAAACCCAACCTACTAACCTTTACCATTAATTCTTCAGCAACACGTTGACAGATGTGGATGCTTCATGCTGTAAAAACAATCAGGTCTAATAACTGTGAGAATACCTACCTTCTCTTTCATGTGCGTTATTTTTCACCTGAGCATGAGAGCAACCATCTCAGATGGAATAAGTGGTATTACAAACAAACGAATGGATTGATGGATGGAGTTATCACCGGTTGCTCAGATGATAGAATGTGGCTTGATACTCAAAGCTGCCTGTCAAAGTTTCCTTGGTCAAGACACTGAAGCTCCCACATTATCCCAAATATGCTAATCAGTATGTGATATTGAAGGGGCCAAAAAGGCACTGCATACTGTAGAGTCGATGTAAATGATTAAAAGCCCTGTTTGAATGGGTGACCGGGTATATTTTAATGTGCTTTGTAGAAAATGAATTGAGATAAAAAGGTGCTATATATGCATGGACTATTAACCAATTAGTAATTCACCCACATAAATTGGATTTTTTATATTGATAATGTGTGTTAAAATATTTAAATAAACACTGAGAAACTGACAGTGAAAAAGGTTTATTTTGCCCACAAATTTAGTATAAGCAAATGAAATACGATTCGATATCTATTGGATTGTGAAACTGTGTGTGTACAAATTCTCCTATTTCATCATTTCTGGTGATTCTGGATTGGCATATCTCTTAAAATATTACATAACAAACGTTAACTCTTTTTTATCAAGACAGATATTTTAATGAAGCCCACAGGGATACTTAGCAGTACCCTATAGTATATTGTTTCATTTTGTTGAACTATTCCTTATTTACTGCTTTTAAACTCTCACTTTTGAATGCATTATCTTTTGTGTATGACATTTTGAATAGTCTTGTACGCGAAATGTGCCATACAAATACATTTACCTTGCCATGCCAAGTGCTGAAACCAAACCTATATTGTTCTCCATGTCGATGGTCAACTGTCTTCTATTCAATTATTGTTAATAATGAATCAATATGACTAATGGAACATAAGAGGAGGCTTACCTGAAAAATCATCAGGCCCCGCAGATGAAATATTAATTACTTAAAGGTGCCTTTGAAATACCATTTTGTGTTTTAAGATTTAATGTTTGGATAGAGTTTGAACATTATCATCTTTTCATCAAACATATAAAGTATATTCAATTCAATTCAAAAACAAATTATTTGCAAATACTGTAAATGCCTCTTAAAAGTATTTTTGTCTGGTTGGCATTTCAAACATAGATCGAGTTTTTCACGTGTTGTTTCTCTTCAACCACGATCCACCAAATGTAGAAAATGTGCTAGTTCTTGGCACAATTGGCACCAGAGTGGTGTAAGTTTAATGTGACAGGCTTCAGTAAGACTAGTAGGCCTCACTGCATGGTTTATTTGTGGCACTACATCATACCTCCTATACCCTTGTTCTTCTAGAAATGTCACACCCTGATTGTGACCATTGGACCTCTAATGAGCACTCATGTGCTTTCTCTTCCAACTGCCATGACAACTAAACATCTATCTTTACAAGGTTTCGCTCATGGCCTCTATTGAGTTACAAGGTCAATACATGATAGCTTAATGAGGAAATGCTTTGTCTTGTGTTACACTCAACGGCACTAGTTTAAGGGCGATTACCTATGGCAAACCCTGTTCCTAAGCCATTTGCTGCATGAATTGTCTAAGTATCAACAACATACGATTAGTTTTGGAAGTAATAGAGAATAAAGACAGAGGGACCTGTGAACAAGACTTAATTGTATTTCAACAACTTGTCCTTGACTCATTGGGATAATTAAATGTATTATTTTGCACAAAACACCTACGGTAAGTTGAAAATTGTAAGGAATGCTTGGAAGGAAATATCCAGTTATTTACCATGATAGACAACCACTGTAATGCACATTCAAAGAGTTTACTTTAAGGGGAGCATTTCTTGCTTAATGGGGTGTTATCAAAAGAGAAAATAACCAATTAGTAAGAGGAAAATAACTCAGATATTTCCTCTTTTTGAAAGAAATACTTCTTAAAGTTTTGCCAATTGGCTGGCATACTTGTGTAGTGAGCAGTCTGATCAATAAAACATTCATAATTTGCCATTATTGAAAAATACATTGCTTTTTGGAATTTGGGGAACACTATTGCCACACACTCCCTCTTCTGTGATAAGATTAGAATCCACAATGATGCAATGTGCACCATGGATTGGTTCTATTTTAGTTGCTCGGTGTGGGATATTTTTAATATTTAACACGGTGTCGAGGTGAAATAAGAAATTGGAACGAATGCATTTTAAATAGCATTTATTGTATCATGTTTCTCCAAACTAGGGCAGCTATTTATAGCCCTACCACTTATGCATAAAAGATCAGAGATAAAGAAAAGAATTTATCAAACCACTTGTGGGGATACAAGATATTTATCACGCTGATAGACAAAATGCTGTCAGCCTAAAAGATTTATACTTTGAGGACAACACTCCTTTGTGTTCTGGTATAATGTCGGCAGATGGTCATGTATATGTATATGGTCTTTCTTCTGAGTTAGATTAGGTTATAACTTAACCTACACAGGCTATATGTTGGATTAAAAAAAAAAATAGGGCATGTATATTGCTTCCCAGTCTACTGTGACGAATACATTAAATATTAATTAGCCAAAAGTATAATTTAAAGCCACGGTTAAGCGATAAGAGCAGAAAAGTAGTGTGAAATCCCAGCATTTAGCACAGAAAGAGCAAGTACTCTGTCGCTAAAAAGCCGCACGGATCTCAACGTGGGGAACACCAATCTCTCCGCGGCACATGTTTTTACTTTCGTTTACTGAAATAAAAATGCGATAATTGTCGACAGGACGTGAGAATAAAGTGATTTCAGGCGTGTATATGCGGTGTCGCGTTGAGGTCACTCGCTGGCTGCCTGAATTCCCCTCTTTGTGTTTACACATCCGGGTTTCCCTGTTTGCAGCCCATTCCCCATTTAGAAGCCATTTTGGACACAGATCAGTAACATGCATGTAAACCCCGACCGACCTCCCGACGCAGCGGTGCTACTGTTCAACTGAATAACCTCAAAAAAGAGCGCTGAGCTCTCGACTTGGACGCGATAGTAGCCTCGCATTCGGTTTTGGACCCACTTCCGATGCTAAAGGCTGCACCTTTTGTCGGAGTAACCGCCGAGCAGTCGTTTAATTGCTCCTATCCTTTCGTGCAACATTGTTGCAGCGTCGCCGCTATTGACACGCGTTGTGGTGGTAGTGGTGGTGGAGGAGGAGGTGGTGGTGGTTTAGGCTGCTGGAGGGACCGGAGGCCTGTGGTCGTTTTGATCCCGAACTGATGTTTTGGCCAACCTGACTTTTAATGTTCGCGAGGGAGAGAGTGGGGAATCTCTGTCCTGTATTCGAAACGGAACATGTCTTTTTCATGGCTGACTTGTTCACTTCTTCTGGGAACTTTATGCGCAGGTAAGACCGCCAAGTGTTGTCGCCGACGTTGAAAGACTTTTGTCGACGCGTTGGACATTTTGTGTGTGAAATTCAAATTTTCGACCCGTGCACGAGCTCACGTTAGCCGGTAATTTAAACTTTGCTGGCAGTCGATACCATCATTCAGCCGGGATTTAAATCTCCCTGCCGTAATCCCCCCTTCTTCTTCTTCTTCTTCTTTTTTTCACCCCGTTTGTTAGCTCCTCCGACGATAAATCGGCTGCTATCTGCACCTTTTTTCCTCGCATTTGAACGTATCCCGAAAGTGTAGGGATTTCTTTGGGTGTGTTAAAATGTGTGTCCAAATATAAAACTGTTGCTCTCCCCAACAGTGGCAGGAATAGAAGGCAGCAGCTGCATCAACATCCTGAAACCTTATAGCTACACCTCAGGTCTGCACTCCTGTTTGTGGTCGCAGCCTGGCAAAATAGCCCGTAGAAAACACACTTCTTCTCCCCCCTCGTTTTACAGAAACGGGCGGTATTTTATCAATAGAGTGAGGTCTTTTTTATTTATTTATTGAGGTTACTATTACAAACGGGCCAGTCTCCGAATTTTGGTAGCACGTGAAATTCAGCGCGAGGCTTGTTTTTCTTTTGTTTTGCCGAGTTTGCTTTGTCGTTTTGGGTCTCTAATGGAGGGGGCGGGGGGGAGGGTTACGATACCGTCCCGGACACGGACACCGTCCAAAACACGAAAAACGCTCTTGTTCGTCTAAACATATATGTTTTAAAACCACATCCACTTTAATTTGTCCTCGGAAGTGGGGCTGAAATTTCCACCAGGACACAGCTGTCTGCTGTGTGTCAGATAGCGCTGCAGCTAATGCCTTTATGGTTTATAGATTAGGGCATGGGGAGGGGGTACAGTAAGCTTTTTTTCGCCAGAATTCATCATGTTGTGGTGTAAAAGGCTCAGGGGGTTGGGGGGGGGGGGAGGAAATGATCTTGTAGTAAAAGTCCTCCCGGATCATGTGACCACAAATATCAGAAATACCATCTCGGCTCAATGGAGCATTGACCCCTCTGCTGTAGGACTATGTGTCGGTGTGTGCTTAATCCTACGTTTCTGTCCTCCGTCCTTTTTATAATGACCATGATGTTTGGTCATTTCATGCATCCCTGTATGATATAATGAAGTCCATTGTACGCTGCTGGATAGCTTAATGTGTGAACGCGTGAGTGTATGTGCAGCTTGGTGTGTATGTGTGATGGGCTGGTGGGGTAATGCTGGGGGGATGGGCAGGCTCCTATAGGCAGGGATTTAAAGAGACAGGCACTATTTTTCTCTGAACAAAGATTAAGCTTATATGTCCGAGATGTGTTCTAAATGACTACTACAACATTTTTATCTGCTCTTGTCCTCCATGTCCTGTGTGTGTCCAACTTCAAAGCCAATAAGGCCAGAGAAAAACCCTCTCTCGGACACAATTCGAAGACTGGCAGCTATTGTTACATTTCTTCTGAGTTGGAGGAAATATTTCTTTAAAAAAGACCCTTGAAGAAGACAGTCTTATCTGTCTTTACAGATGTTTATGAAGAAAGAACCCATAGCTGTATGAGTAGCATGCCGGTGTATGTGTGTGTGTGTCGTGTTTCAATACCACAGCAGGCAGATCATTGTTTTGTAAGTAATTAAATTCTGTAATTTCTCCTTCCATTTAGCTTTTTTTTTTTCTCTCTGAAAAGATCTTTTAGTCAATGGGATTATGCTGAGCCAGTATTCAGCAACAATTTCTTAGCCCAGAGGAACTCCCTTTCACTACAGAGAGCTCCCAAAGCTGGCTAGGTGCCAGAGTGATGAGAGTCTCTGCTCCAAAATGGTTTTTCATGGCACAGAGCTGCTCCTGTGCCATATGTTTGCGCTTCCGCTGTTGGGTTTCAATTCATTACCTTGCGAACTGACGGAGACCTTCTGTCCATATCAGGGTACAGTCTTGGCGAAGCCGAAACCCGGGAGTGTGTCTACTACAATGACAACTGGCGCACGGAGAGGACGAACCAGAGTGGCTTTGAGCGCTGCGAGGGGGAGAAGGACAAGCGACTGCACTGTTATGCCTCCTGGCTCAACTCCTCAGGGACCATAAAGCTGGTGAAGAAAGGCTGCTGGCTGGATGACTTCAACTGCTATGACAGGTGGGGTCACAGTGCATTTAGATTTAGATTTGAGGTACCTGGTTCTCACACACAAAATGTCTCCATCATCACAACCGCGGGGAGTAAAAACTCTTTTCTTTATGTCACGATGCAGGTGAAAGATTCAATGGTGAAAATATAGATCAGTGTCGGCTGGTTTCGTCTGAAATGTGTGAAAAGGCCATTATTCTCTTTCTTCTGGATATTGAATGTTTTTCAAGGTTTGGCGGACGAGTAAATCAACACCTCATCTCATATCAGATGTGTTGTCACACTTAAAAGGGAAATTTTCACCAGTTTCTTGACGCTCCCACAGAGTTGAAGGCCCAGATGAACCAAATTTGTTCCACAGACGTCCATGCAACACAAATGTCATTGTGTGTGACTGTGTACGTTTTTAATGAATGTATCGTCAGATTTCTGTTGAAAACGTGAGCCTCATCACTTGTTAGATTAGTTGGCCAGTGTTCACACATGCTTCTGCTGAGTCTGCCCGTGGACCTGCTTTTGTTCAGGCCTTTTCACTGAACATATGCCTTTTTAAGCTGGGACTGTGTAGCCACTTTGTTTCGCATTTGTCTCACGTGTGAAAATACCGAGCCAGCGTGGGCGGTCAAAGTTGATCTGTCACCGATAAGCCTCTGAGCCGGCCAGGGAGATAGTCACAGAGGCGAACAGGTTATGTGTGAAAGGCCATGCCTTTATCAGGAAGCAGACCACTCTGACCAACAACACTGTCGAGTCCCAGCTAATTCTGTGATGCCGGTTTGATATGAGAGCATGCACTGATGAGGGACCGAGCCTCTTCTGTCTGGCATGCCTAAAATTACAGATAAGTTGGAACCAAAGCAAACCTCCAGAGCTCATTATGTGTATTCAGGGACACACATTCAGTTGACTGGTATTGTCTGATCAATGGTGTAAAAACTCAGAGGCATTTAATTAAAAAGGAATGAAGGGACAAAAGATTTCACAGTACAAATGACAGCGTTTCTTCTTGCAAATGTTACAAAGATTAGTTCTTTGGATTTGTTCTTCTTGCAAATGGCCTCCATCAGCTAAGCAGATTGGAATTTAGAGCTTGGCAGTGGCATCAGGCCACTTGGGATTTTAAAAGTCAGGATCTGAATTTTAAAGTGTGGCGCAATCAGAACGATGACACAGCAGAGTGTGTCTTCATAGTCTTTTTGTAGTGTTAGCGGCACTTAGATCTACTTTTCCCAGTTCGCTACAGATCTGGCTGACCATTGGACCCATACAGATGAGGTCACAATGATTAGCTCTGGGTGTGTACCATGTGAGGGATGCTGTAATCTAAAAGAAAATTTCCTTTTCTGTGTCCCTGGTAGTAATTACACAATCCAAATTTCAATCCAATCCCAACTTTACTGATTTTCCAGCAAAGTTTAGCCTTTCTTGTGTAATTGTGCAGCCTAATGGCCAGTAAAATGAAGAGTTTGTTGACTTGTATATTGACACCACCAGCTGAAACCAAAGCCGAGAGACACATCAGTTAAATAGTCTAGACAATAAATTGGGCTCGTATTACTTTGTCCTCAGAGAGTTCAAGCACAGCTGATGGAGACCAACCCAGTTAAAATTCAGATGAAAAATGTGTTTTAAAAAAGTGTTTGTTTTCTGTTTTTTTGTTCTTTTTTGCGTTTTGCTGTCAGAAAATTCTATAAGTGTGTCATTTTCCGTTTTCAGGCAAGAGTGTGTCTCTATGGAGGAAAACCCTCAGGTGTTCTTCTGCTGCTGCGAGGGTAACTACTGCAATGAGCGGTTCACCCACCTTCCTGACATGATTGGCAGTGGCAACCGAGGTGAGTGGGAGACGCACCCGGCATACAGTACAAGTAGGACGCAGACATTTGGCTCTTCTTATTCGAAGGGAAGTCTCTCGCACCATTTTTGGGATTTGGTGGTAATGCTGCACTTTGTCAGCGCTGGATTATGGCGACGCTGTTAAAGCGCGCCAGTCATTTGCCAAACTCTCCTTAGTTTGATCATATTGTGATCAATATTGAAGTAACTCCATACGTCGGTATCTTTTTACTCTGGTAATTAGTTAGGACTTTTGTATGCATCATGATCACATTTCTCTGTCGTTGCTGGAAACTCTAGACGAGAGATGTGATTCAGACACAGATTGAATGTCCTCGTCTAAGAATAACAAATAACTCATTTTTGTGCGCAATAACTCGAGTTGATGATTATTTCTAAAAAGGCATTATAACACGATGAGAGTATTGAGTCCATTCCTGTTGGTTAGTGAATCCCTTAAATATAAACCAACCTTTTTATTTTTTTATTTTTTGCATTTAAGTCCTTTCCTCCAAACTGACTGGGGTATCTTGCAATCAAACTGTTTCCCCACTAGATTCATTTATATATGTATATATATATGTGTGTGTGTGTGTGTATGTGTTCTGAAAGCCCCATTGAGTTAGATGCATTTTGCAACCGGTTGTTTGCATTATGTAAAAGTGCGATGAAGCTATTTGACTCATGTGAAATGTTGCATCATTAAGTATCTCATTGTGTATAGTCCAGCTCTGATAATCAGCCAACCAGAAAGGTGATAGAAATATAATGTTTTTAAGGCTTACTGCATTATTTCAGCCAAACTGTGATGACTCAAATGCCATCTAAGGGATCAGGGCTCGGCATTGTCAATAAAAAAAAGTCCTCTAATTCTAAGCCAGACCTCCCAGTCCACCTGCGACACATAAATCTGATGTGCTGCAATTCTCCTGTTCCTCCTTGACAGTGAAAATCCGGCCGCCACCTCGAGTCCCATCCCTGCTCAATGTGCTGGTGTACTCGCTGCTGCCTCTCTGCGTGCTGTCCCTGGCCCTGGTACTGGCCTTGTGGATGTACCGCCACCGGAAGCCTCCCTATGGCCACGTGGACCTCAGTGAGGTGAGCAGGCCATTAATTGATTATCTGAGATGTGCTGAAGAGTGAAGAGAGGATGTCTTCTGACTTTTTGCTGTTACTTACCTTTACGTTTAAGCAGCAGCAATAAAGATGTAATATGTTTTTAAAGTGTCAGCTTTTAAAGTGCACTGAGAATTTTTTTTTTTTTTTAATCCCGATTATTTAGGATCCTGGACCTGTTCCTCCATCCCCTTTGGTGGGTTTGAAGCCCCTGCAGCTGCTGGAGATCAAAGCTCGGGGGCGATTCGGTTGCGTTTGGAAGGCACAGCTGATGAGCGAATATGTGGCAGTGAAGGTTTTCCCTGTTCAGGCACGTCTGTCATTTATACTCTGAATACTCATGTAGTTTTTGTCCTGTTTGATTCATTATTTTTTCTTTTTTAATTGACCAATGTCTGCATTTCCTTCTGATAAAAACACACACCGTAAACACTTTTTGAGAATTTGCACCATCTGACATATTAGAAAATGCCATTTCCACTTTCATATCGCTGAGGCTTCAACATAAGTCTTTGGTTTGTGTTTACAGGATAAGCAGTCGTGGCAAAATGAGCGGGATATATTTTTGACCCCGGGGATGAAGCATGAAAACATCTTGCGTTACATTTCTGCCGAGAAGCATGGAACCAACCTGGAAGCTGAGCTGTGGCTTATCACAGAGTTTCATGAGAGGGTGAGAGCACATTCACCCCTGTACAGCCCGTATGCACACTCACGGTGACTCTTTAAAGCAGGAACAGCTGGACGTTTTCTGGAATCAGACATTGTATTTACTTTCCAAACGAGACTCACGTCTTACGCTAAAGGGAGAGTTAGAAATGGCTGACACTGCTTATTAGAAATGGATTAAAAATTCTTGCACAGTTGCTAATCCTGCTCCTTGACCTTTTTGTGTGTATCTGTGTGCGCAGGGCTCATTGACTGACCACCTGAAGGGTAACACTGTGACCTGGACTGAGCTGTGTCACATAGCAGAGACCATGTCCCGCGGTTTGGCCTACCTCCATGAAGACATTCCCAGCTACAAGGGAGAGGGCCCCAAACCCACCATTGCGCACAGGTATGAAAAGTAAAACCTACCCCTGGAATATGCTAACCTGCCAGACAAAAGGCATAGGAAAAACCTAGAACAATCTCTGTTCTACAAACATAATCTGATCGTCAATCGTACACAATAACAAAGTGTTATTCTCATTTGTAAAGCTTTTTTAATTCAGAAGTACTAAAATAGCTAAATGCCAGTTAAAGACGTTTCAAAACAGTCTCTACCGGCTCAGTATGGACGTTTCACATGTGTTTTGCTAGTCACAGAGCAACAGATCTCACAGTTCTCGGGGTTGCTCCTGTGATGCTGTGCTACGGTTAGCGTCACACGGCACTTGTGCTCGGCTCATTTCCATTTCTCCGTCCGATAAGAAATCGTCTAACTTGACGTCAGCTCGCACAAAGCCTCTCCAGGCCGTTGCACTGGTTTTGCGTTGAAGTAACTTAAAGCTAACATCCGCACTCACATGCGTGATGAGAGGCAGCACAATGTCCAGAGAGTTCCGACACAGCCTGCATATTTTCAGAGGTGAACACACTCGAATCCTTTTTGTGTGAGCCGGGTCCAGTCAGACGTTAACTGCTGCTCAGCTTAACTTCTCCTGTAACCTTGCAGCTTATCTAATGTGACGAGCTCTCTATTCAAAAGCGTTCTGAAGCACTAATAATTGGCGCAGACTGAGTGGGAATCAACACAGTGGTGCACTCGGTACTTGACCCCGTTTTTTTTTTTTTTTTAAACTTCTGATGGTTTTGAGCTTTTAGATACTCGTGATGTACTTTTTGTTACAATTTTTACAGTTTTAACGGTGGCTTTGGAATTAATTTCTCAGGGACTTCAAGAGTAAGAATGTGATGCTGCGAGATGATTTGGCTGCTGTCATTGGAGACTTTGGACTGGCTGTGCGGTTCGAACCCGGAAAGCCTCCTGGAGACACTCATGGCCAGGTATGAAGAAATTCACTACATGTGATGAGTTGCACAAGCTGCCGTTTTTTGGTGGGCGCCCTGTAAACTTGACGCTGTTGTCTGTGCAGGTTGGCACGAGGCGCTACATGGCTCCAGAGGTGCTGGAGGGAGCTATTAACTTTCAGAGAGACTCCTTCCTGAGGATAGACATGTACGCTGTGGGCTTGGTGCTGTGGGAGCTGGTGTCCCGCTGCTCAGAGACAGACGGTAGGTCAGACAGTCCAGGAATGCACCCACAGGTGAAAGGTCGCTCTGCTTCAGGCCGGCCTACTAAACAAATGATTTGTTTTTGTTTTTTTTTGCTTTGTGTCTGCAAAGTTGTAATGTGGATACTGTTATTTGTATATTGGTCGTACTCAGTTTTATTGTCTTCCCCTGTTGAATTGCTTTCGTCCGACACTTTCCACTCTGTTGGCTCGCCTCAGGTACAGTTGGCGAGTACATGCTGCCGTTTGAGGATGAAATAGGTCAGCATCCTACCCTGGAGGATCTGCAGGATGTGGTCGTGCACAAGAAGATGCGTCCAGCCATCAAGGAATGCTGGCTCAAACATCCTGTGAGTAATTGTGAAAGAATGGCTGCTTCAATTTCAATGGGCATGCAAGGATGTTCCACATCCTTCATTCCAGTAAAGTAGCCGGATGACAGTTCTCTGAATCTAGGAAGGACTGGTTGAATTTCTTTTCAGCAACGTCATAAATTTCCAGTAATGAACTCATTTTTAAGGAAAGCCTAATGAGTAATCTAATCTGTGCCCCCTGTGACTCTGTCCACGGCTGCAGGGTCTGGGCCAGATGTGCGAGACCATCGAGGAATGCTGGGACCACGACGCGGAGGCCCGACTGTCGGCCGGCTGCGTGGAGGAGCGCCTCGGCCAGATTGCCAGGACGATAAGCAGCACTACCTCAGACAGCCCCGTCTCCATTGTGACGTCTCTCATCAACGAAGACCTTCCTCCCAAAGAGTCCAGCACCTGAACGGGTGACGCTATCCTTCACCAGAGCTCCTGACTTTTTGTTCTTCACATCCAAACTCAGTGGATCTCCGTGAATATTTAACACCATGGAAGGAAAAAAAAAACGAAAAACCTAGCAACTTAAATACAGCTGCTATTTTATCCCAATACTGGTATTTTTTTCTGTTTTTAATGTTTTTCTGTGTCCTCAGTCAGATCTTACTAACACCATCCATTTGCTGTAGTGAAAGTAGTAATAAGCTATACGATGGGCACATAACATCGGTGCGTCAAATCTTAAACGTGGTCACCTCATGCATTTATTTCATGTTTGTCCTTTTTTGGTCTTTTTTTTTTTTTTTTTAATTACCTCATGAGTTGTTGTCTTTGTATTTCCCATTGTGGTCATGAACGTCTGCGGCCAAACGAAATGAACCTTTTGCTCCAAACCTCAGACGACGTGCTGCACACCTCGGAGGAACCCTTTTGAGACTGTTAAACAAAATATATTCATCTTCCTCAGGGGTTGAAGCTTCTCAATTTTTAAAACTCGGAGTATGCTCCCTTATTTTAAACCTGTGAATTCCTCAGAATGGATTAAGAAAAATCTGAAGCACAGCTGTTTCATTGTAAGGGAGGGAGCTGAATGAGAGCTGAGCAGTTATATTGAACGTTTTGGACTCTTTGAAGATTTTGGACAAGCGTCTTGTCCTCAGAACTACCTCTCAGGTATCCAGCAGGCTTCTTTGGAACATTTCTTTAAGTTAAGAGCCAAGCTATCCAGCTAGCTATCATGGACATATTCCTGGACTTTTTTTTTTTTTTTCTTATTCTTTTTTTTTTTTAATTGTTGAAATTCAGAGTTACTCCTTTGCCAGTGCCAGGGGCATTGACGGATGCTGTCTGGAGTTGCAATGTTACACATTCTTAATTTCAGCTGCGTTTGTGTGCGAGTGAAAGCGTGCGAGTCTGAAGTTTTAAAGATGTGAGACGCATAGAGAGCGTGTTTCGAAAGTAAGAACCATGGACTGGTAATTTGGGGTTTATCCTTGCATGGGCCATACTTGAGCAAGCAACATGTCTGTTTTTTTCGTTTTTGTTTTTATTCATTTTCTTTCTTTTATTTCCAGTCTGGTCAGTAGACTCAGTCAGACACCGGTACACAGATACCTCAGTCACTGTATGTCATGCAAGGAGGACTCTAATGGTTGCCTTTGTCTCAAATGCAATGCCATAGTTGTACCCTAACATGAAAACCATACATTGAATGTCCGTAATGCTGCTGTGACTATTCCAGGATACTCAAGGATTTGTAGATGTATTCTTTGTTAATACAACACTAACATGTGATAACTATCCATGATATTATGTGAGGCTAATATCATTATTATTATTATTTTTTTTTGACTGGGTAGGCCCTCAGCTGCTTACTCCTCCAAACTGACCTCAGATATTCTGACAAGTACCTCAGGCTTTTTCTACATGTATATCAAGTTGTGTTATGTATTTTGTTGTGTTTTAGTGGTCGGAATTTTTTTTATTGCTGGTTGGGTCTCCGTGTCTGTGGAAAATGTTTTTTCTTTTTCTTGTTTTATGTTCTCTCTCTTTCTCTTGCTCTCTCTCTCTCTTTCTCTCTCTGTGTGGAGCCTGACCAGATTTCACAGTGTTGATGCTCGAGAAAAAAAAAAACCTAAAAGAAGACAGGCAGATTCTTGTAAATATGCGTGTATACACACACAAACCGAACACTGACTTATTTTTTTCCCTTTCTTCTTTAAACACAAAATCAGGGCATTGCTGTTTCCTGTTTCACAGTTAACGAAAGAGATTTATCTGCTTCCCATCTACATATTTAAGTTATTTCGATAAGTAGCCCTGAGGTGTTCGTCATTGATTTTCAAGAAGTGTTACTGATATTAATGAATAATGGTATTGACTCCTCTGGATTAGAAGCTGTGAGGGTGGTGCTGACGTTAGAAAATTTAGTGTTTCACTGAGAACAAGCAAGAAAAACACATTCGTTACGTTTGGTGCAGGCAGCTTCTGTGATTGGCCACTTGTTTGAACAGTATTGCCTCAATATTAACCTGCTGATGTGATGTTCTGACCTGTTTAGTGATAGTTTAGCCACATTGGACTACACACAGGCTCGTCTGTTGTGCTTTGATTCGTGGTGTGGAAAGATAGTGATTTTTAACAGTGATCTGTAGCTCTTGCTGACGTGCAGTTTTGATAAAGGACCTCTGGGGGAAAAAAAATACCCGAGTCAGTGCCGGAAAATGTTTTTTAGATGTTTGGAAACCATCATCGTGTTTGGATCCATGTGATTGACTGATGCCACACCGTCAGGAATCGTGTAAACAGCGGCATGTCCAGTGATGCAGCAATATTTACTATACAGCAATAGTCATTTGAAGATGATAGTTTTGTCATTAAGCTCTGCTGGGACGCAGCAGCTATCTTCTGCAGTTCAACATGATACATCTCATCGCACCTGGATCGTGCTCTGATGGTCTAACTCTCGATCGGGGGGAGGGAGGGAGGGAGGGGGGTAGGTTGAACTCTTGTGCGCACTCTGAACGTGGCCCAGGTGCTTTCACGAATTGTGCCAGAGAAGCAACGGTCACGTTGGCGAGCCTGCCGTGATCAGTGTTTTCCTCCAAATGCTGTCTTACACCCAGCTCTTCTGAACCGAAAAAACCTGTTACCTCATGCCGTACCTTGTTCAGTAACACTAAAAGGAGTCAGTCTCATCTTCAACAAAAAAATGGAAAAAAAAAATTAAAATAAAATAAACAGATCAATTATTGTATATATATTTACTTGATGAATATAAAAAGGTTTCTTCCTTTTCATGTGTGGATCCTGTGAAAGCAAATTCTTTTTTTTCTTTATATTTTTGACTTGCAGTCAACATAATGTTTATTTCTCATAGTGTGAACAGATGTTTGACTTGAGTGATCTTCCCTTGTTATGTGAACTGTGTGCGTGTGCGCTTGTTGGTTGTTTTCACTAAATAAGTATGAATGGTAACTTTATCTGTGCATATTAAATGCTTAGAAATATAAACTAGATGAGAAAACATCCATCTTTTTGTATATGAAAATAAAAACAAATCCTGATTAACCATTTTTATTGAATTCTTCAGATTCCTTTTAACTGTCTATGATTTTATGAAACGCTTAAAAGTGATGAAGAAAATGAAGTAAAAACTGCAGAAAGTAGCTTAAATGTTTATTTTACTTGCAGTATGCTCTTTGGTTTCACATGAACACTAGATGGCAGCAGGAGTGTCAGTTTTGTTCTGATATTAGTCTCTACAGTCAGTGAGTACACTGTAGTGTAGCACTGATATTAAATCCATGTTATAGCAATATAATATCTTGATATTTGTGAATAATATGTGCAAGGTTAGTATTTGTGTATGTTCTATCACTATAAACATGTCGCATTCGGAGGTAATTCGTCCAATTAAGCTTCTGCCAGCATCTTGTCAAAATGCCATGGAAGTTTCAATCTCAGAGTGCCTAAAAAAACCTTATGTTCAACGCATTCCTACAACGATGAGTTACACTATCATAGCAAATGTATTTAAACGTTGGTAAATACACCTTCGCCGGTGTTTCTATTTTCAAGGCTTAATTGCAAAAACATCCACACGTACACAAAGGCATCACGACGGTTTTCGCTGAGTTTTTTCCTCCAATGAAAACGCTGCACATTGACCACGTGACAAACTGACTCGTAAATCACATTGAGTGGAGTGTTGCAGAAAGTCAGTCACTTCTCGATGTACAGTGAGTGAATGCGAAAAACTTCTGCCTTTGTTGCAGTTTTCGTTTTACTGTAATGTTTTTGGATTTTCATCGCATCCGATAAGAAGCGTCTTGTTGAAACACTTCGGCAATTATGTCCGTAAACTGCCAAGCAGGTGAGTGTACAAAAATGGATATTTTGATTTTGCCAGCAAAGCATTTTATGACTTGGGACGGCTGATGAGAGGCATAATCTTTCACCGTTTAACGGTTCGAGAAATGAACAGTTGATAGAAATGTAAGAGCGTCAGCAAATTTAGGTAAATGTGCTCGTACATATTTGTGTTTTCCCGGGTTTTGTTTGTGTCTCTGTGCGTAACCTGTTATTTTTACGGCAAAAAAATGTATTAACGTATAGACATTGCACGTTATTTTATGAAAACAACGGTTAGCAGTGTTAGCTAAAAGCGAAACATCTAATAGTATTATGTGAAAAGTAGCTGAAAGCTACTACGAATAAATGGGCTTAATTAACAGGTTACAATACGTGTATAAAGGACCAAAAGTTAATTTATTAATGATAATGTCAAATGTAGTGTGTAATGTCAACCCTACGATTAGTTTATGAAGAATGAAATGCAATGATAGACTTTGAATTACAACATAGTAGATGAGTACATAATATGACAAATTGAAGGCAGTTTTTAAACCTGTTTATTATTGAGTAAAATGAAAAATGTCCTGGGTGAAGTCTCCACTAAGCTCACACACACATAGCCTGCCTTTTCACCGGTCATTTTCTGTCTTTCAGCCGTTCAGGGAGGGCAGCCCGGTGCGTTCAGGGGCTAGCTGGCCAACTGTCCCACCTGTGGAAGGTGACAGCTGACCTGGCTGCTGGGATGCTACGGAAGAGCAGCAGCAGTGGTGGCAGTGGGACCAAGCAAACCCAGGGCCAGCCGGGGCCCTCCTCCAAGCCCCATTCAGAATCTCCGCTGGCTTCCTCCACCAAATCCTCGACCATGGGGCGCAGCAGCAGGAACCCGAACCTCCTGGGCAGCATGGGACTTTCATCTCGCCTGATGGGGGCCCCGGGCGTGGACCCGGACTACGTGATGCAGCTGGTGAATGATGTGCGGTGGTTTGCAGACGTCCTACTCAACCTCAAGGATGCTTTCCAGCCTAAAGGTAAGTTCAGGCGGGGGTGGAATGCAGAGGTTTTTGTGCGTGGACAATGAAGGTCAGAGAACCGTAAAATGACAGACGAAGAAAGGCTTTAGCCGTGGCCACTGTTGTAACATGCTTTGTCATTAACGTGGGGTGTTAAGTGCATTCTGTGGGGGTATTTTGTGACAAAGTGATGTGTGTAAATCATCCTTTCTTCCATCTTGTTGTTTCATGCCTTTTCCTCCATAAATGTTATTGATATATGCTACATAGTGATGGGTTGCATTCAAGTCTTTTTTTTCAACTGAATTACTGTTATTACAAAAGATGTATCATCAGTGGAGATTCTAAAAAACAAAACGATTGCCTAAGTTATATAGTAGTAGTGAAACGAAATGTTGATTTGTCTAAACTTTTGTCAGCTGCAGCTTTGTAGACATTGTTACTGTTAACCTTTCTGTGGCTCTTTGGTGCTAAAGGAAGTCAGGTTGTCTCCGCTCTACCTTCATGCTTCCTGTTGCAGACAAAAAAATCTCCAAACAAACATGACACCATAGTGGGCTTTAAAGAAAAACAAAACAAAACGAAAGCAAAGAAAGAATTTTTTTTTTGTTTTTTCTGCTGTTGCATAAAACCTGTGTTGGCAATCACGAGTCAGTTTGTAGTTTCATTACTCTTTTACTACAGTTTAGGTTTTGTTTAACATCACGGCCTCGCTTGTACACAAGGATGTGAGTTGCAGATACATTAGATCAGAATCATATCTTTCTGCTCTGGTCTTTTGGTTTGCGGAATCGGCTTTTGTTTGCAGACTCAGACAAACATTCCATCCATACAAATGTACGTCACTGCACATTGTCACATTAAACATCTAAGATAAATTTACATTCTCTACATTTTCACAGCTGTTCTGAAAATGTGGGGAAATAAGTCCATTTACTCAGTAGTAACTTACAGAAATGTAATCTAATCTTTGCTTACACAACACAAGATTGTCAAACTGTAAGCAAGTTCCCTCCCTGTAAGCTGTTTGTTGCAGCTATATGTGACAAATTAGGCTTTCTTTTAACCTCATTTGGCTTTTTCTTGCAGAAATGAATTTCTTTTTGTAATATTAATACAAAATATGCCACTGTAACACCTTTTTGGTGCTATTTTTACAATAAATACCTGTCAAGGCCGTGCATGCAGTTTGCAGCTGTATGTTTTGCAGTGGGAGTGAGGTGTTTAGCCATTCCTCTGGCTGGAGGAGTGAGGCCTCCGTGAGAGGGTCTTGGCTTGTGTCGTGCTGAGTGTTGCTCTGAGCCATCGCGAAAACATTTGGGGTATTTGCCTCCCCGTTAACAAGGAACCCTATTCAGCAGGTGGGATGAAATCATACCATATGACTCCATAATGCCATTTGGATTAGTAGTTTGTTTGAGAAGTTCGGCTCTATGAGATGCTGACTAAGTCAAGCTGTTATTGCGGTATGGCTTTCTGGAGTAAGCAGTGATCACTTTTACCATTTAGTCTCATGTAAGAGTATTACAGAGACCCAACCTGTAGCTTTAAATCTAACTAATACCTGTTGACTTAGAGGATTTAGACTTAGAATAACAACTTATATTAAGAAAAAAAGCAAGCAGAAAAGTAACACTGACTAGTAGTTTTATTTAAAGACAGAAACATCTGTAAAAGAAAGGCTTGATGAGTCATTCTTAACTTCACTAACATGGTGGTTACTATTGGTATTGGGTGTAGCTTCTATAAGCTGATAATGGAACATTTCAGGCAGGAATCTTCGTCTCTTTAAGACTGATGGCCTATCTTACTGTCTAATGTTTTTTTATGCAGCAGGGTGTCCGGGTGCATGTGATCCTCCTGTTCAAACAGGCGTTGTGACATAGCAAACCTGTTGGAGATACATGAAAAACCTCAGTGTTTATGTCATTGACAGTTTTCTTTCACATGGTAAACATCTGCGTTGTCGAACGGTGCAGACCTGCTCATCTTAACTTGTCAACAAGATGTCAACAAATTGTCTATTCTTAGACGTTTGGTGTGTTTGTTTGTGAGTTTTCACTCCAAACGTAGAAGACCTGATATTCTGAGGTCATCATGGAGCTTTTACTGTCTGCAAGAAGTAGCAGTCAGAACCTTATTTGAATTGATTTAAAGCTGCACATATTTTGTACGACCACGTTCAATGAATAAGCGATGAATAAGCTGAGTATGAATAAGACTCGGCCTTTGGTGTTTTTTCACATCTGTTATGAACTCATTTTCTCCACTAAGATGAACAGTTCTTAATGATTTTTAATTAATTCAGAATCTTTTAATTCAGTTAAAGACTCCACAGCGATGATGACACAGTAATGCAACAGTTTCTTCTTCATTTTCTTGAGTAGCTTAGAATAATTGAATCATTTTGTCCATGAAATTCATGGGAGTGTTCATGGGAAAGTGCACTACTTTTGACATCTTTGGCAGCGGCAAACCTAAGTTAGTGTGCAGGCGTGCACCCCGGCGCGTCGCTGCACACAGGGCTTTTGTTGTGTGATTAGCAGCACGTCTTGTGTGTCTTTTCCTGGAAGACACAAACAGCCTCACAGCAGCAGCCTCCTCTCTGTGGTTGAAAGCTGCAGGTAGTGAGGCAGGGTGGAGAGGAGGTTAGAGAAGCACATGCTAGCTCCTCTGTTATTATTTTCATACTTGGAGAGGTCTGTCACTGCTCTACTGTGTGAAACTGATGCAATGTTTTCAGATCTTGAGAATATCAATTCCCACTGCGGGGGGGGGGGGGGGGGGGGGGCGGGTGAGTCAGTGTGCCTCTCGTAGCTCTTCATACATCAAGAATTTATCTTGGGAGATGCTTATTTTACCAGCCGGGGCTCCTGCTTGTTTTTGTAGCTGGAGGCGGCTGACGATCACAGCGTGTTTGGTTGGTGGAAACCCACAGGGGAACTCTGTCATTGATAGTCCACTTGGGTCAACTAGACCCACCTCATCTACACCCACAGCTTCACGCCAATAGATTCCCTGACATGAGATTGTGGTGTAGGTTTACACTTTCCCTGATGACTGTGACCTTAATCACAGCACTCTCATGAACTGTTGTTTAATGCAGTTAGAAGATTTAATCTAAAAAGTGTTTTTGAGGCAGTCTGTGTTATGACTGAGTGGGCACCCGCAAAACGGGGGCACATGCCTTCCCAAAAGTGACTATATTCACATAAAGAGCACAACAGCAGACAGCACTGATTAATGAACCTCGCCCCCATCATCATTCTGGATCAAAATAAGAATGATAGAAGTGGTATTTCAGTTTGACGGGTTCAAATAACAAAAAGTTCTTTGTTAACTGTTGTTCTCCGGTAAATAGAGACATAACAACGGCACACGTCATGTGCGTGGCTTGTAAAAATTCTGTTCAGACTCAGTCTTGATGGTGATGTATATAAAAGGAAACATTTAAGTTGTTATTAGCCTCGGGAAACAAGCAAACATAGCTTTGGACTTTCCTGATGTTCACTGTTTCAAGTTTTAGAGGTAATGGCAAATGAGTGGAAAGAGAGAAAAAAAGCTACAGGGCTGATATTTCGAATGTCTTTCTGTAAAATTATCTTCATTCAGAAGTTTAGTTTGAATCTGTGTTCATCTGCTGAGCCCCTTTTTGTTAATGGTTGTAATGGTCGGCGTTAAAAAGGAGTCCTCTCCACAGAGCTGCACTGCTGTCCCCCTCCCATCCCCCTCTCCCCTGCATACTCTGCATTCCTGTAGAACAAATGTTCACTTGTAGCTATAGTGCCTTCAATAGACTAATGGTAGGTAGAGGCACATCGACCGTGGAAACTCCTAAAAATAAATCTGCCTAATAACTGTGGTCACATCAGAAATTCACAAGATGCATGATGTCAAGACTGCCCATCATTTAGAAAAGTTAGGCTGTGAAAAGTGTCAAACATGCCCTTTTTTAAGCTCTTGAACAGCATGCCTGCTTTAAATGCAGCAGATATTACTTTTATCTGCTATAAGTAGACCAATTCTTTAAATGAATTCAGAGGGAATGACACATTCAGTCTTCTTTTATTTGGGGGTCTTTATGAATAAAAGTCAAGTAACTGTTTGCCAAAGCATCCTCTTTTCCCCTTAAATGTGTAGAAATGTCTAAATAGTGTAGTGGTTTGCCTTGTTCTTTGCCAAATATTTTAGGAATGTGTTGTATAAGTTCTGGACAGTATATGGGCCAAAAGACCCGAACAGGGGGAGGTTTTAACTTTAAATGGCTCTTTTCATGAATGCGTATTCACAATTTTATTTCCTTAAAGGTTTGCTGAAGAAAGTCCCGATTAGTTGGTATGTTTTTTGAGTCTCAAGTGTGTCACACCACCCCTGACAGAACTCCACTTGAGGGCTGAAGAAAAATCTCGCAGCAGAGTTCCAAGTCATGAGGTTAAGGTCTTACAGTATTTATGCTGTGTGTGTGGAGCTCATTGTATACTTTATTTGACCCCAGATAAACTCTGGAGAAATGCTCCTCACAAAACATGGCGCTGCGTAAGATGCATGGCATGTCTCTGAATGAGGAAAAGCCTGACCAGCTGACTCACGGATCCCTCTTCGATGCGGAAAAAGCGTGCCGTTTTTCAGCTGCTTTTTCTCATGGCTCTGATAAGATCTGTCTGGGCTTTGTTTGTCAGTGCCAGCCTGTATCTGCGCTGCTGCCTGACACGGTGGCATGGGATGAAAATCGTTTGGTTGCACCTTGTAAGATCCTGCTGTGAAACCTTGCAAGAAAAATAAGCAATTTTTGCATTTTTTAAACTGGTTTTAGATCTAATTTACTGTAAACATGTATGTGGTTTTAGTCTTCTTTTCTGGCCTAAACGGCCCGGTGCCATCTGAAGTGGCCCCTCGCAGGTGGGGCCTTCAATTGGAAAAAAGACAAAATGAAGCACATAATGGTTTAATGGTCCGCTGCTCTTAAGAGAAAGAAAGGAGAGGATTTGTTGGGCTGTAACTTTTCCCTGTGATGTTGAAGGATGTTTTTGTGCGAGCTTGTGGTTGGGTGTGTTTCCTGGGGTGGGATTTATGGTTATGGGCTCTGGATGTTTGTGTAGGACATTGGACACGGTGAGCTGTGTGTAGGACAGCGGAGCTTCTGCTAGCATAGGATGTTCATATAGATTTACATCTCTGGGGCCGATTTACGCTGGTAAAATGTTGTGTGGTAAATGTTTCAGAGTTGTTTGTTTTATCAATCAGTCACAGACACAGAGCTTCATTCACAATATTTTTTTTTACTACAAACCTGGAGGTGAAGTCATCGTCCTGTGGGCATGTCTAGGCACTCCTGCCTTCCTTTATGCTGGCGAACATTACCTCATCACACACGAGTTGAAACTACTTGTTGATTAACCTGAACCGTCCCATAAGCTATGCTCCAGCTTTTGAAATCCACCTGAACTTCACTGGATGAATTCTCTCACAACTACTTGCGTCCAGCTTTCTCATTAGATAAAAAATATGAGGTTGGGGCAAAATCTGCCCTCAGTGAGTAATTCTCAGTAGCGGTGGCGTACGCTATATTGATCCAAGGATGTCATCTCAGTACACCTGCTTAAACCCCCCCCCCAAAAAACCTAATGGAGTGACCTCAGACCTCACAGTGTGAGCCTCGCTTCTAGTCTGAGAGCAGGTAGCTGTAAAGGGACTGCACCTCACTTAGTCCCCAAATAAGGTATGGGACAGATGAGAGGCACCCGGGAAGACGGCGTTTGTCTGGACGGGGGAGGGGGGGGGGGATTAGTGTTGGGAGATATAGTCCTGACCAAACAATTCCTTCTGTGGCATATCAGGTGGCAGCCCAGAAATGCAAGCAAAATCTTTTGGGGTGATTTTTTGACGTTGTGAGGGGGCTAACCTGACGGTAATCTGAGTTTAGATTCCTCAGGTTATCCTGTTTGTGGGAACGTTTAATGAACTGAGAGCGCTGCATCACCATCCTGGAATGTGGTAGACACATTTTTAAAAAAAAGTAATTGAAATCATCAGCTTCTTTGGGTATGACTGTGTCGCTGGAAAATACGAAGAGGAGGAGGTGGAGGGATGCTAACAAGGATGTGTGGCCTCCTTGGTCTTTCAGTGGAGCCCTGCGGCTGTTTCCCAAGCAGCAATGTGTCACCAGAGCTGCTGGGGCTTGTTTTATGTCGAGCCCATCGCGTGTCCAGACGGGCCATTTGATTACCTGTTGTTATCTGTGACGGGAGCAGAGGCTATAACCCCTGTCAGGCCACCTGAAGATTTGGATTAGATTGATCTTTCTCCGCACAGCAAGCTTTGTCAGACACAATGGGACCCCAACGCTCACAGCAATTTAGGAGGCGGCATTCATTTAAAAGTTTTGAAGTCGGGTCGCCACTTCAACCATTCAGTGCTGTCCTGGATTATTGGCTGGAGGAGTTTATATTGATGTTTGTAGCTTTGTCTTTTCCATGCAAGCTGTTATTTAGTGGACGTTTAAGCTTTTTTAAACATTTGCACGTTTGCCCATGAAAAGTAATTTAACACACAGACATCATCAATAGTAATCCCTGATTATAGAGATATGGTTTTATGGTTATTAAACCCTATAAAGAGATTAATTAACTGCTATGAGTCACTTGTTTTAAAGTGTCTCTGAAGTTGAATTCACTCTTCTGCACTAAAATGTTTTCACAGTACTGCTTTTGTGTTATGTATTCAGTTTATGGGAAAAGGCTGGAGTTGTTAGTAGAATCTGAGTAACTTTGCGAGTATTGTTTGTACTACACACAGAACTCGGAAAAAGGTCAGGGACAAATTGATCTAGACACCAACAGAAAAGGCGGGACTGAACACTATTTAAGTTTACACACAGCGACCTAGCTTCCAGAGACATGTGCTCGATTTGCTGCCGTATTCCTGCTTAAACTTTTATGTCAAACTGAAACAAATGATAGGGATTTTAAAAATCATAATAGGTTTATATGAAATGGGAGTCGGTCAGACTGAGCATGAAGTGTGTGTCACCGGCTCATCGTGCCGCTCTAAAGAAAGAGCAGGCAAATCTGAGCTGTGTTGATGTTGGCGAGGGAAGGGGGGTGCTCTCCCTTTAATCAGTATGCCCAGTACTGTTATCACTGCCACAACAATGGCCGGCCTCCCACACTCAACAACAAATTTCCAGTTTCCAGTGTGCCTTTTGATGACATTGTTGTGACAGAGCTGCTCACCAGAGAATTTGTACACACATTCATACATTTTAAAGAGCAAAAACGGCATCAGTGGGACCTGTCACACAGCCTTTATGCTCCTTTATTCAAGATGATGACCAATGTCATTCTTTAGTTTTTGCTTTCTAGTGATAAAGTAACCTGAGTAGCCTTATTTAACACAGACAAAGCTGCAATCAGAAAAGTAAGCCAGGTGACCAAATTTCAGCATTTGCCTTCAGGTGTTTCTTTAATTGACGCCTGAGGCTCAGCTCTAATTAGTGTGGACGTGATCTTTGAGGTCAGGGGTCGATAACTGAAAGTTTGCCGGTAATTGAAAATTGTCCGCTGCTATTTATTTGTTTGTGCCACCGTGGTGCATTGGTTCATTCCCCACCGTGGAAGTGGGTGACACTAAACAAAGGCTGAGAAAAAAGCCTGGCTCTGGTCATTTGTCTTTGTTACCACAACATCACAGCTATTGTCATTTGATCGCGAATTGCACTTCCTCTGCTCCTTTGAGGAATAGATTGCTCTCATTAAATTCTTTTCTTTTCCGGGGAAGAAGGAAGTGGGTGATCCAAACTGACCTGACTGCTGTGATTATGTAGTGACACTCTCAGCCATGCTCCACTTGTGTCATGCTAAATGATAATTCTCAGGTGTGCATCTAATTAGAACTGGCTCTTATGTGCTAATAACAGACCCACACACATCTTTGATTAGAGAGCCTTCAAAAGCCAGTGAGCTAAGCACTAAAGCCCTGTAAACCCACATCTGAAAGGGGGGATTAAAAGTAAGGGGGTGGGGGTACTTAATGAAGATCCATTATCAGTGTCGATAGGTAGGGGAGCTTCAAAGAGCTTGTTGTAGGGTCAGAGACCTCTCATCTGGAGCAGATATACAGGTGAGCACACCTGCTAAAGGGACTCTTTGCTTGGGACTGTTCTCCAACTACTTGGCAAGATGGACGCTGTGGTGTGCTTGTTCATCGAACAGATATCCTCTTTTTTTTGTTGTTAAAGTGACTTTACACTTTTGACAGTTTCCCTCCTATCGTCCATTTTGCTTAAATCATAAAACAGAAGATGCGACTGGACACAAAACATGTCACTGCCGCTGATTTAGACCCTTTTAAAGTCGTTACCACCAGTCGGTGTAATTAGAGTGTATGTATGAATGAGAAGGAAGCATGACAAAACACACCCACACACACACACACACACATTTGGGCTCTCCTTTTAACTCCCTCTGAAACTCCCTTTAAAATCCCAATAAATTCTGTCTCTCGTCTCACCCCTCTGCCTGCTCGGTTAGCCTTGATGAAAAACAGATGACTTTTCTCTTTCCAGCCAGTGCCCCCACTTCTTCCAAAACAGTGAGTTAGACATGAAATCACCTATTGTCTGGTGCCAACTCACAGAGCCTCTGCTGATTAGCCTGAATAGGAGCAGGAGATAAACTCTGCCTCTCCTGTTGCTGCTTTTGTTGCTGGCAGGAGTTTACGGCGTCACGAGTGTTGCTGTTTTTCATTCCAGCTTTAATCTTACCCAGAGAGACTAGTAGTCCATCAATTTTTCTAATACTGCTTTAAAAAAGGTTAGCTATGGGCAGAAAAAAGGGCCATGTCGGACTGGGGTTTTTCCTTGGCTTCATCTGGTTCTACAGGAAAGAGATGCCTTTCATAGCAGAGTGACTGACACAGTGTGATATTGTTGAAAACGGAGAAAGAGAGAAGTAATCTTGATGCATTTCGAACATTCTTTTCCCCCCGCTGTCATCTTGTGTAACCTTCCTGGCGCTGAAGACATCTTTTGCTGCTCATACGGGCTACTGGCTGTTGGAGGAAACATGCCTAAATAACTGTTGCCATCATCGGCATCTGTCATATTAAGCTATCTTTTGATTTGTTTGTATGTTACTATCTTCTTATTTTGCTTTTTCAGGGTTTGCTCTTGCTTTGCAGTTTATATTAACTCACTCAAAAACATTTAAAAAGTCAAGTGTCTCAGACATGACTCCAAGCAGTCTGCAAAAAGTCCATTAAGATTAGTTTAAACAACTGCCCTTTCACTTGTGTCTGCAAAGCCTGGTGGGATTTAAAACTCCATTGCCTTTTGTCAATGTGTGAATGTTATGACACTGACTGTCACCGTTCTACTTGTTTACTATACGTACCTTTTCCGTTGTACGTGCTGTCACTCTGCCTCGAGGAAGCAGAGAACAGAGAAGTTACATAACAGTATTTTCTTGCAATTAACTGTGTCACCATCTTTCAACCACAACCTTAGGCACAAGCCCCGACACAGAAACAATGACACAATGACAGTAGAGCATGTATCAGAGTCTCATACTTTCCCAATGACAAGGCATTGCGAAATGAAATAAATGGCTATGAGAAAAGGAATGTCAGGAACTGATTTTACGCTGGTTCGCTCATGACTAATAGATGGAAATGTGTGATTGTATGGTTGTTGGGTTTAGGTTTTGATTCATTTCGCTATCCATGTGACTCAGTCTGGCTTATGTGGCTTTGTTCAGAGAACCTGGAATGTCTTCAGGACCTTGTGCAAGAACGCCTGGCCGAATTGCTTCGTGTCCTGAAGGCTGTAATAGGCAAACACCAGACCCTCAACTCGGCTGACATCCTTGGAGCGGCTGGCACCGTCATAGCCAAAGTCAAAGGTGAGCTATTACTCTAATCTGTGTACAGGTGTACAGAGACATACTGAGGAACGCACAGGTGCCCTGATGGCGCTCAGATTTGTAGCCATGAAATCTCACTGTTCCATCAGAACTGCAAGATCAGCAGCTACTGGTCACATCAGTCTTTTAATTCAATGCGAGAATTTCCCTAATGGCATTTGTCATTGCTCCTGAGTTGTCTCGAAGATCAGCAGATAATCTCCAGAAGTCAATAAGACCACAAACAAAGTAGATCTCAACTTGAAAGCTTATCTTCTCGTAACACGATCCACACTAAGAAGATTTCTTCTTTTGACTGGAATACAATCACAGTGCCTCTACATACCTGTGTTTTACCGTGCATATTTCAACAGCAGCTTTCCATGTTCCTTCGTAGTCAAGCACATCCATTGTCTTCATTCCGTTTTTTCTGCTCACTGAGATGTGACTTACTGCTTAAGAATTGTAGTCTGCTGATTGGTACGCTGACAATGTCTAGAATGCAAAAAGCAAACAAAAGAAACCAGGTGAGTCAGTGATGCTGTTTGCATGGTTGAACTTCGAGGCATCTACCAGGAGACACAGAATGTGTCATGTTTTCAATCATTCATTGATATTTCTTTCTTTAAACAAATAGGTCCCCTTTGGTATTAGAATTGCATTAATTTATTGATTAATGTATTGATAATTGCAATGGAAAAGTTGATTTATTTCCCAAAAAACGACGATTTAGCACTCAGGTGGTCTTTTTTTCACATATAACATCTCATTCACGGGGCTGACAAATATAACTTTTATTGGATGATCTTTTTTCCAGAAAGTGGTTTAAAGAGATGTTTTTTTTTTTAATGAAGTCATCAGTCATCATGCATAAAGAGAACATGCAGTTGCGACATTCCATCTGCCTGCTTGACCTAAATCAGTATATAGGGAAGGAAAGTCAGTAAAAAAGAAGCGTTACTCAAATAAAACTTTTTCACAGATGTTTGGGTATGTTTGCATGATTACTTTGATTAATGCTGGCAGAAAATTCATGGCTAGGCTTACTAAAACTGCAACAGACACAGTGGTTAGTTAATATTGAGTTTAGGGGTTTTCCTGTCCACAAGGGGGTGCTTTTCATCAATCAACTCCCTGGATGGGTGGTCCCTAATGGCCAAAAGGTAATACAACTCTGACTCAGACAGGGAATTGCTGAAGAATCAGTGAGACATCAGGAATAAGGATTCAAAGATACTGGATGATAACAGGCCTTGTGAGCCTCACTGGTGTTCCTCTTTGAAGCTTGTTCATGACACCTGGGGCATTTGTACAGCTGCCAAAATGACTGGCAAAAAACATCCTCCCTCTTTAAACACATGGTTGTTTAACCGGTTTTAAGTGACGTATCATCTAGCCGAGCTATTCCCTCATCGGTTACTTTTTCTTCGTTTGACACTGTATGCACATCTTTAGATCTAAAATAAAGTCAGAAAGCTGTAAGTTAACGTTGCTGTTAAATGCAGGGTGTCACTGTGGGAACAGGCAGCTGGTGTTGCCACCTCTTCTAGTTTGGTTGTGTCTCATTTTCACCTCCCTCAACTGGAAAATCACATCGTAAAGTGCCAACTTCCATAACTTATTGACATTATTTCCTTGCTTTGTATTGGCCTTTGTTATGACGCTGTGCTATTTAAAAAGCTGTTAAAACATTCCTCACGTCTCTCGGAGGTTGAGCTGCGCTCAAACAGAATGATACACGCTTTAGTCATTTTTCACAGGTTTACTGTCCGCGATCTACCTCAGCCGTGAGAAAACAATGGGCCCTAACCTCGAGTGATGCAGTTTCCATATTTCAGTCATGACAAGGGGGGCAGTGCTCTTGAATCATTGTTAGAGACCCACAGGATGTCCTGAGGAAGAAGTCAGTGCAGAGTTGTACGCTAGCATTCAGATCCAGGGAGGTGCACGGCAGGGTGGCTTGCACCGCACCTCCTCTCTTTGCTGTCCTCAAGAGTCGGCCTGGAATGTGCTTGCCTCCTACCCAGAATGCCATGACCTTTCTCTGCTTCTTGATCGGTTGGGGATTTATAATTACCGATCCACCCCTGGCTTGGATTGAATTTACTCTCATAAAGAGAAAATGGAAACACAAAAGCTAAGCGCTCTGGAAAGTAGAAAGCTTTAGTCGAACCTATTCAAAGTTGACATTCTCTGGTGCCATTTATGACACAACAATGCCACAGAGAAGGTAAGTGCTGTCATGCTTGTCTCGAGTTTTACATATCACAGAATTCAAACTGTGCGAGTGTTTCCTGTTGCGGGGCAGACAGGAAACAGTAAGTAAGATTTCACTGACTCGGTCTTCGGTTCTGTCGATCGCGCTCTGCAAATGTCCTCTTTCTGAGACAAAACCTTTGCTGCAAACAGTGTTTATTAAGATCTTAAATCTTGTATACTTTCTAAAGTCAGAAAATATCAGAACATAAAGTTAGTCCTGTATATAATCAGGATGCATGATGGCTCAAAGAATCATATCACTTTTGAACAATGAAAAAAAAAACACATCCCGATTTCAAAACCTTGGGTGCTTTTCAAAAGAACATTAGAACAAAAATACAGAAAACATATTTTGAGATGAAAAAGAACACAGCTGCATATATGTGTTCCATTCAGTTGTTCTGTTGTTCAAGCATGTCTTGGAAGTTTTGACCTTTCTGTCTAACCACATATAATCCTGACTGTTCAACCAATACACACAATGATTGGTATGTAATCTGTCTTTATTTTGGCCTTAGTGTGTTTTTTATCGCTCTCCACAGGCATTAACTTCAAGGAAGTGAACCAAGAAAACAGAAAAGCTATATTCAGCGAGATAGACACATCCATTGACACTTTGGCATTCACATTTGGCAATGTGTGAGTACAATGCTTGTTCGCCTTTCACCACCAAAGTATATGTATATTTTTTCCTCCACAGCGGTTTGACGGACTAGTGGTGATTTTTGACCAGAAGACCAAAAAACTCGTTGGTCTCGTTAAACCCGTCATTACCTCTGTAGGAAATATGCATTTTGAGTAGTAATTTTGTGTCACAGAGCAGACTAAACTCTGGACCGTGTCCAATTGCTTCTGACTCTCTCCGAGCAGGTTTTGTCACATATTTACATCAACACATTTCTTGTCCTCAGAGTTTCTGACTTCCTTATGGGAGATGTGGACAGCAGGCCAGGGTTGGGGATCCCCCAGACCAGGAGAAGCAGGGTGAGATACCATCTGTCTTTTAGATCACATGTGCTGTTCAAGGCCTTGTTTTGAAACCGCGCAGTCCTCTTAAGGGCGCTCTAATTGCAGCAATTTTGCCACTTTAAAAAGGCTTTAGAAGACGTGCTTTCTATACTTGGTTTGTTGTTAAAACCCTGTGCTTCTGATGTGTTACTTTGATTGTATGTGTACTTTTCCTTCCTATTAATTTAAAATGTCTTTTTTTTCAGTCTTTTGACAACCTCTCTGTGGATCCTGAGCAGTATGTTCCAGAGAAAAGTGATCTTGTGGGTAAGTGATCCTGTTATTCATCTCTAAGGTACATGTGAGTAATATAACACACTGGTAACTATTCATTTCTGCTGTACACAGCATGTAATGGTTGCTTTGCAGCTTGAAGTGTCAGCTTGCGAGTTAGCCTAGTGATTTAGGCTTTGGAGCCTTGAATGTTTGAGGTAGACCCGCCTTAAACCTCCGCTTCAACCCCCTGTTATTTCTGCTGCTTTTTTTCATGCTAGTCGCTCATTTTCTCTTCTCCATCCACATATCTGACATTCCTTGCCTGTTGAGGAGTAATTCTGTGTGGGATGGGGAACAGATGGGGTTTTGTCGATCAGATGGTGGGTGACAAGGAGAGGTTGCAAAAAGGTTGTAACAGTTAAAGGATTATAAAGCAGTTAAAGCAGTTTCACACCTTTAAACCGTTCCACACCAACTGCCCCACTGACCTCTGTGTGTTTTATTAATTCATTTCATTTACCTCCCACGCACGCATCTGCCGAAATTTGGGCACTGAGATTTGTGAATCCGTTTTCCGTGGTCACAACACGTCTCGTGAGTGCGTCTCTCCTGCTGACTTCACAGACACAGAAGTACAACTGTCTCGAGCGGAAGAGGCTGACCTGACGCTGCTGAAGAATGACAGTGGGGTGGAGTCCGCTCTGCTCTATGCTAAGGCCTGGTCCAAGTACATCAAAGACCTTTTGGCCTGGATGGAAAAGCGTCTGGCCATGGGTGAGACACGCACACCAAAGGGGATTGGGGTTAGGAAAGAACGATAGTATTACATGAAAAAACATAATTACTCATCCAGTTAGAAAAAAATTATCTTATTGTTGGATTGTAGGAGTAGAATCCAAAGAATTGATTTATTATATAAGTTCATTTACGTTTATTTTGGCATCATACTTTAGGTTTATCATTGCCAGACCATTTAAACTGAAAAAAGGTCTAATTTCTCAAGTATCTTTTATGGCTCAATAAAACTTCGTACACCTCTTTTAAATTTATATCCTTTTGATTTTGTTCTTTTGTGCATTTGTTTCCTTTTACAGATATCGAGTCTGCTAAAGGATATGTAAAGATGGCTGAGTCTGCAAAGGCCCTGGCCAGTCAACAGGTACTAAAGAGACACCCTTCGGGATTTGTATCTCTTTGAAATGCCATTTCATGCAAATGTGCAAATGATGGAATATAATAATGATTAATTTTCTGTCGCTTCTTAAAGGACTACATGCCATTCAGTGATATCTACGTTTCCTCATTCAAGAACGACATTGAATATAACCAGCTTCTAATTCAAACTGCAGTTGCTCTGCAAACCAATAAATTTATTCAGGTAAGTGTGACGATGAGAGTAAGAATGTTACCATCATGGGAATCTTGATCTTTGATCTTTAACCTGAAATCATCTGCTGTTCAGTTTTTCTTTGAAAGCAGAAATGCTCTTTCGTTTAGTCGATTTTCCTCTAAAAAATGATCAGAGGACGCTCATTTTTATCCTGAAAAGTAGACAAAAGACAGTAACAGCTGATTCAGATACAGTCAGTGCCTGATTATTTGATCTCTTTTTAGCTTTTATATGAAAAGCTTGCTCTGAAAAGTCTTGCTGCTCTTTCCATTTCTCCTCAGCCTCTGCTGGCTCGCAAGAATGAACTGGACAAGCTGAGGAAGGAAATCAAAGAGCAGTGGCAAAGAGAGTTAAAGAAAATGGTTTGTATACTTGATATTTTCGTAATAAATGCCTACAAAAAACGTCAGTATTGAACCACAGTCCAATCAGAAGAAATGTCGCAGTTGTTTCCACCAGTCAGATAACTATGACATTTATGGCAAGACATTTAGAATACAGTAGTTAACATTTTTGGAATAGCGCTGTATTATTCTAGATATTATTTAGTAATAAGAAACAGCAGTTTTCTTGTAGTTATTCTAGGTTTCTTAGAATGAATGGAATCACGTCAGAATGTCTCATTGTTAGATCCAGACAACTTAACTCTTCAGAGACAAGGTTGATCATTCACAAAAGCATGCCTGGTCGTTCCCATGGTAGCCACTGCACAAATTGTCACATTTCATTTTGTGTTCTTTGGTGTGGTATCTGCAGCAAGAGGCAGACACAACCCTGCGTAAGGCACGTGCGTTGAAGACCCAGAGGAGAGAAGAGTACCAGAAAGCCCACTCAAACCGCTCCCAGGAGGAGCAGTCCAATGCTGGCCACAAACAGCTGGAGAAGAAGAGGAGGATTCAGGAGGAGGCTCTGCAGAAGGTGGGCACGAGACTTAGAATTACCAGGGAGAGCTGTTACGATATGAGCAACTTCCACGAATGAACTATTTTCTGTTCATTGTTCGGGCAGGCAGAGGAGGCGCAGGACCAGTACCAGAGCTGCATGGCTGACGCAGGCGTCAGAAAAATGGATCTGGTCAACGCCAAGAGCACCATCCTCACACAGATACGAGAGATGATCTTCCAGTGTGACCTAACTCTTAAAGCTGTGAGGAGCAGGATTTTTCATTTTAGTTGTCAAAATAACAAATGCTGTGCAGTAGAAACTGGACTGTACAACATGTAAAACATTACCTCCCCATATTTTGTATCAGCTTCACCTCACTCAGACATAGGTTGGATTTTTAACTGAATGTCGTTACGACTTTTGTATAGAATCAAACCGATTTATGCCCTGGACTGATGGCGGCTGTGACATGTGAGCCTCCACTGTTTTTAAAAGTCTTAAGAACAAAGAAAGTTGCTTTTCTTTTTAAAATGTTGGTGGTTGGTAGTTCCTGGGGCATATCCTGTGACTATTCCTGAGACTATTCTCTATCTAATCAGCAGTCACAGGCTCTTTACGTCACCAATTATCGCCTCAGCTCACTTTAAATCTCAACAGAGGAAGCACTAAAAAAGTCAGAGAAAGAAATGCTGTAATATTGTTTAGGGCAGACTTTTGCTGCCAAAACAACATGGCAAGGGATGCAAAAGAGACCTTTAGGGTTGGATTCTCGGGTCAGATATTAGGCAGCTGACCCTGTGAGTGTTGAGACTTATTGCACCATATTTGCAAACCTTGGTTAAAAAAAAAATAATCCTGTTATGTAGAATCTTTCCACCATAGCTCATTGTAAAAATGTGCAGAAAATATAAATGACATGTATATATATATATAATATATGCAAACAAAGAGTCTTTTATCCTTTTTTTCTTGAATCAGGCTTTAAACAGTTAACGTTGTGTTACTCTTGTGTCGTAGGTGACAGTCAACTGGTTTCAGATGCAGCAGACACAAGCTATGTCCCTCCCTACTCACTACCAAGCCCTAAGTGATAGTGCCAAGCTGTATGAACCGGGGGAATGCTATGCTGAGTTTGTGCGGAACCTGCCCAAAAATCTGCCAAAGGAGCACCTTCGCATAGACTCTCTCTCTGACAATTCCAGGTAACAGTGGCACAGATGCTGGAAACAGTTTGAGAATTTATTGCTAGTCGGAAGGAAGTCTGAATAAAGGATTTGACTATGCTGGACAGGAAGTTCACATCTTCAAAGTTACTATAGTTCGGATTGTTGCACAGGCTGTTATTATCTACAGCACTGACAGCTGATATGTGTCATTGTGTTCCTGCAGTGATTTTTTAAAAAGCTTTTTTGGGATTGTTTTTTTTTTGCTATAGGAGAAGTTGTTTTGAAATATCTTGAAGGGTGTCCCACCCTTTTTAAGTCACTTAGTTCTTCTTTCAGTAAATGTAACAATGCCTCAGAGTGGGAGGAAGAGAGGCAGAATCGAGGAGAGACAGAGTGTGTGTTGAATTTCTTGCCCTTCCTCAGGAAATATCTGTGGCGCAGGCTGAAAGCAGCAGGGAAGATTACGAGCGTGAGAGTTTTGTTCTGGTTTCGCACTGCCCCAAACATTCAAATGAGCTTGCCAGGCTCCCAAACACATATTCTTGTTTTCATTACGTAAAGAAAAGAAATGCTCTGTTAAGTGCTTTAATTGTTACTTACTTAGTTACTTACTTACTCACCAGTCCATCACAGATAGACAAACAAACCGCACACTCACATTCCTCTGCTGATTTTTCATACAAAATTACGGTATATGAAATGTATTATTAAAAAAAAGAAACAGTGGGCGGGTGTCCTTCTTACAGAGGAATAATTGAGTGATGTGAAAAAGGAAAACAAGGAAACATACTTTGTGTATACTATTCAAAATGTTACTGTTGTAGCTTTGGTTCATCAACCCTGTGAGGGACACACAGTGCAATGTCATAGTCATCAAAACTAAAAGACATATCTTGTTTTTTTAGCGTCCAAATTCATAACAAAATGCCTCAAACTCTGTATTTTTCCAGGTTTGTGTTCAACAAAAGGTCAGTGGGAAGCACTCACTCCTCCCATGGCAACCTGTCACAGGCATCGAACAACTCCTGTGACGTGTCCTGTGGAGATGAACCTGAGAACCCTCTACATCGGTCTGTAAAGATCAGTGAGCGGAGGTCCAATAGCAGCACAGACATACGAGGTACTTATTCAAACTTATGCTGTGTGGGACTATTATTGAATGGATTATTGTAGAATCCAGGCTGGACACACGCTGGTGTTTGGATGGCTCATGGTGATAGTGGAGGCCTGCAGACCAGCCTGTATTTTTATTAGCCAGCCAGCGACTTACCATGTGTTTTGAGTCATAGGAATGTTTTGAAGACTGAACAGTTGCCGTGTGTTGCTTACTCATCAAAAGCCTGGAATATATGTGTGACTGTTTGTTTCTGAAAATAACTTTGAACACCGCTAAAGAAAAAGGCTGTCATTTAGCTGTATTACTTTGTTTGTGACCGGTGATGTGCATGTGCTTGTGCAGCACTAAAGAGCCAGAACCCGCTGAGAGCCTGGGCCTCCAGCAGTCAGGGCAGCCAAGGTGGGATGTGCAGTGACTCAGAGAGCGCTGGAGGCAGCAGTGAATCAAGGTCTATGGACTCCCCTACGGCCAGCCCAGGTATTGATTTAATGTTTAGCACTGTACATTTATGTAACATTTAAAAAGAAATTATGATTATAATGATGGAACAGAAGACAGCTTGTCTTTAATATTTCAGTGGATGTATAATCTCAGAATATACTGCTTTAACATGATTTGTTTCATGTTTTTTTTAACTTCCTGCCTGTGTAGTGCAGAAACACACACGTTAAACCTAAGCGCACTTCCCTCTTTAGCTCTTTAGCCACATTGTTTTAAGTTTTAATGTATCCAAGACCAAATGTACACATGCTGAGTATAAAAGCTTTTCTTTTGGTTTCCTCTTTAAGCTTCTCTAGTGTTTTTGTGTAAGCCCCTGATAACATTTTTACTTTTTATTTAGCTTCTGAGCTTAATTCATTCAAAATTTCTTTGAGCAGGTGACTTCAAACGACGGTTGCCCAGAACCCCTTCCACTGGGACCATGTCTTCAGCCGACGATCTGGATGAGAGGGAGCCCTCACCCTCAGACAATGGTGAGACATGGCTGTCTCAGTATATGCTTTGCTTCCTTATGGGGGTTTATTTTATTATTCAGACAGATATGTGATCTTATGTGAAAGCAAATTTGAAGTATTGAAGTAATTTAGTCAATTTACTTATTTATACCAAGTAAGCTGATCTGTGGAGGGAAAAATAAAGTGAGAGCATTGGGAAATTCTTGATCATGCATGACATGTAGCATTGTTGTCATATTTTTAACCTTTTAGTTAATTCAAATGGTTTCGACTCGGTGGACCAGTACAGTTTTGGTGTATGGTCTGAGCTCTCCCTTCCTGTATCTGTCGTGATCTCTTCCACATTTTCAATTGTGTTTATTTTCTCAATGAATTGAACTTTTTCAACATTGCAATTCTTTGCCCTGTTTTTTCTGTGAAAGAATTGGTAAAAAACTGTCCAAGCTGTCCTTTTTTTAAATTGAAATTAAGATCCTAAATGAATTGGATACTTTTTCGAAGCAACATAAAAAGAAAGGAAAACTGTTTCTAGCCGCCATTTATGAAGGGAAGTGAAATCAACAAAGTAACCTCTAGTAACTTCTCCAATGGCTCTGTGGAAGCTTTAGTTTTTGCTGATGTGAGAGTGATGTCATCCGTCTGGTAAGTCGCCATCCTCATAATAAACTTCTCTGATTTTCAGGGCTGGCAGAGATGGTGACTGAGACGGCGAGCTCTCCCGGCCCATTCCGAAATGCTCAGATGTCCAAAGCTGCTCAAACCCACAAGTTAAGAAAGCTACGAGCCCCATCGAAGTGCAGGGAGTGCGACAGTCTGGTTGTTTTCCACGGAGCTGAGTGTGAAGAGGTACAGCACGCAAATTTTTTCAGTGACTCGAAAAGTGTTGACATGAAAGTGTATGCAAGATAAGGCAAATAATAACGGTTCTGTTTCTCCCTGCCAGTGCTCCTTGGCTTGCCATAAAAAGTGCCTGGAAACACTAGCGATCCAGTGCGGCCATAAAAAGCTACAAGGCAGGCTACAGCTGTTTGGTATCGACTTTGCCCAAGCAGCGAAAAACAGCTCGGATGGTGTCCCCTTCATCATCAAAAAGTGCACATCAGAGATTGAGAGTCGAGCCCTCAACATCAAGGTGCGTCTGTTTTCATGACGCATCCTGTGAGCGTTGCTTTTTCATCTGATGACTCGTTTGGTACAGCTGAAATGGCAGAATTTGAGTATCTGAGTTTTCTGTGTGTATTTATTTTTTTCTAAAACCGTTAGTGTATGTGTATTCACTCCTGCAGGGCATTTATCGAGTGAATGGTGCCAAATCACGTGTCGAAAAGCTCTGTCAGGCGTTTGAAAACGGGAAGGATTTGGTTGAGCTGTCCGAGCTGTCGCCTCACGACATCAGCAATGTCCTCAAACTCTACCTGAGACAGGTGGGCTCAAATTCTAACTGACTTATCCAAAGATTAGTGGGAATCAGTGTTTGACTTTAGCTGAAACATGTTAAGATCGTTTGTTTTCTTTGTGTTGCTCAAGCTATTGAATTTCATGTTCAGTCTTTTAGCTTTACTTTTTTATTCCAACAGTTACCAGAGCCTCTCATCTTGTATCGATTCTACAACGACATTATTGGCTTGGCCAAAGAATGTCAGAGGGTCATAGTGGAGGAGGCTGATAAAAATCGGAGTGCGCCACCAGGAGAGAAAGGAGTTACAAGCATCCAGCTGAACAGGGTTATTTTCAAGATCAGAGACCTGCTCTGCCAGCTGCCCCCAGCCAACTACAGGACTCTGCGCTACCTCATCGCTCATCTAAACAGGTAAGGGCTGTGAACAAATCCAGGGAGCCATCCCATTAATAAAGGAGACCCCTTTTTTCCAAAGAGGTGAAGGAAATCTTGCTATGTAAGAGAGAGAAACAATATAGCAAGTTCTATAAGGCTGTTACCACTGATAGGTTATTTGCGTTCCTACGTTGGCTAAGCACACACTGTAATGCTGCCAGGAGTTATATGTCAACTTCCCACTGTAGATGTGATTGAAAAGAGACATCAGGTTAAGGTGAAATTATGCAGAGATGTGGAGAAAATGGTCTGTGTTCACCCTGAGTGTCTCAACAGCTCCCTGAGAGACACAATTTCATTCAGTTTTTGAGGCCCATAACAAAATGCCAGATTTTTGTTGGTATTGTTTTCAGACACTCAATCTGAAATACGCCATGACATGGAACTCTGTAAGACTTTTACATGTTGCTGTGTTCACAGGTCACATTTTCAAAGTTCCTCCCAGTTTAAAAATAGAAACATATAACTTCCCTGTAATGGTAGAGGAAGTAGTTTAACGACGTGCTGTTCACGTGCTACTGGATTTCATTTCAAGTCAAAACTTTTAGGTCAAAGCTTTTTAGTCAATGAGCGAGAGGCTGAGTACTGGACGGTACTGGACCCTGGACAGTCCACCAGTCCATCGCAGGGCCACATTACAAGTATTTGGTGGTCTTAATCACATTTACTGGAACATTTACATACTTTTACCATCACATAGCTAAACAATGCTCTTATGTTACTAGACTTCTCAAGCAGCATTCACAATTGAACATTCTCCCTACAGAAGTTGTTGAGTAAATTTTCATGAGAATCACGTCTTTTTAAATCCCTCTGTCACCAGAGTCACCGAGCAGGCGGAGGAGAACAAGATGACCGCGAGTAACCTGGGCATCATCTTCGGCCCGACTCTGGTTAAGCCACGGCAGATAGATGCAGAGGTGTCCCTGTCCTCTCTGGTGGACTATCCCTACCAGGCGCTGATGGTGGAGCAGCTGGTGCGACACTTCCAGACGGTCTTTGATGCATCCCCCCTGCCCAGCTCGGTCCTCACCTCCACTGGCCAAGCATCTCCCAGACTGACCCCGCAGGAGAAGGTGCAGCAGCTCAGCAGATACTCCACCTCCATGGTGGACATAAAAGAGGTGAGGAGGGCTTGTAGATCGTTCATAAATCTATGTTTGGAATGAAATTACTCAGTTTGCTCAGTTTAGGAAGACATTATCATTAGATTTAGTTAACATTTCTGGAATCGACTCTACTTACACTGCCAGGAACTATTAAAGGACCAGTGCCACTAAGCTGTAAACTGTTCTCGCATTTAAGCATAGAATAAATCCTGTGCTAAAAGAGATATTTTATGTTTCGTTTAACCTTTTCTGAAACACTCCAACTATGTACCAGAAAATGAATACAAAACCATTTATATTCTCTTGTTTTTTTTAAAGTTTTTGTTGGCACATGTTTATACTTTATAAACTCATCCAGCATCTTAATTGGTCATTTTGTCCCACCAGAATGCCAAAGTGTACAAAAGATACTCCTCAGTGATCCCATCATCACACATCCTGGACGAGATGCAGGAGGTCCAGCCAGGAAAAGACAGATCAGAGGTGTCAGCCTTGGACAGACTCAACGGGATCCAGACGTCCGGTGGGGCAGAGGTCCAGAGGTCGACCTCGGCGTTTGGCCCTCCCAGTACCAACATTTCCCCAAACAGCGCTCTGGCACCAAAGGTCCAGCTGCGCACCCAGCAGAGCAGACACGGGCCCCGACCAATCAGCATGCCTCTGGAGCGCCTGCCCACCCTGGCTCAGATCAGGGAGAGGAGTAATCAAAACAGTGCTGATACTGTTGATACTGGCTCCGAGCGGGACGGCATCGCTGAGTCCATCCCGGAAGTGCCAGAGCCGGAGAAGGCTCGCCAGAGCAGCTCGTCCAGGGTGAGCACCTATTACATCACCCCTTTCATCGACACGCAGACCATGCAGAGGCGGACGTGGGACAGGAAGTACAAACACTATGACGTTACTCCCAGGACTGCTATGATAGTGGCCAATCTGCCACCCGCCAGCTCTGGATTGCAGCCCGTAAAGGCAACATTGCCCACCCAAGCGGGACCGACCACAACCACCGCCTCCGTGCTCCCAAATACACGCACGGTGACCACGGTTTTCTCCAGCAGCTCCCACCACGTGCCGGTCAAGCACGTCTGGACTTCGAAAAGGGAAAAAGACACTGACGGCTCAGGGGGCGGGTCTAGCAGCTCCCCAAACTTTCCATTAACACTCAGGGCACCTAGGACTCTCCAGCCCCCTCCCGGAACCTTCTACAACCCCTCAGTTTCCATTAACAGCAGAGCTAGGACTCTACCAAACTGGACTACCACCATAGCCACCATCACAACGACCACCACCACCACCTCCTCGTCTCCTACCGGCCCCCCCCCTGCAGTCCACCCGCCCCCTGCCCCTGCGAGCCCCACTCAGACCCAGCTGCAGACGCAGGCCTCCGCAGACAGTGCCTCTGACCCCGGGGTCTCGACCTCCACCACCCTCTCTCCCCCCCAGTCGCCACCACCCAGCAGCCCCGACGACCTCAGCCCCAGCGAGAGCAAGCCCATCTACCAAAGACTGAGACCCCGCAGGCTGCAGGAGCTAGAACACAGAGAAGCTCATTTTGTCTGACACCAAAAAACCCATGCTATCTGTAAATACGAATATTTCTGCGCATGTAGTCTCATCAACTAGCAGAGAACGGGAACAAAATGTTGATATCCATATGAACCATCAAAGTGTTAGAAATACTAATATATTCTATTTTACAGGTCAAGTCTGGGACAACAGTTGTTGGTTAAAAAGGAGCAAATACTTTAAATTCTGATGCTAAAATGAATATTGATTTTCATAGTCTTCAAGCAGTTTAATACAAATTTAGATTTTGTATCAAAGAAAAGAACAATGGGATGGATTTTGATCAGTTCAGAACTGTGAGCCTATCAGTTTTCTTGTTCCGTATGAGAGCTGCTACATAGACAAATGTTAAATGATGCACTTAATGCATACTCTGCTTCTAATGATGCTTCTAATTTTAAAGATCAGTGGATGTTATATTCCACGAGGAGAAATTGAGGTATTTTTAACACGACGTTCTTGATCATAAATATTTTTTTTTTTACCTAAATGTGTCCACTTTAGCCCATGATTGGTACATTTTCTCTGTATGTAAGCCTTACAGTATGTATTTGTTTACGTTTTTATATTTATTCGTACATACTCAATGTTTGTCACACTATTATGGGCGCCTTTCAGAGTTGTGATGTTATCAGAGACAAGTGACACGCAACAGTTCATGCTGCACATTAAAAATTCATTTAAACTTATTTTTCTTTTCTGTTTGCTTGCCATCTGTCAAACTTTAATGGAGCAAAGTTTTCAAAGCAAAAAAAAATTTTTTTGAGTGGCTTTGTGTCCCAGAGAACCAGGATGACACTGTAAAAAAATATTTAAAAAAACTTTTGTGGGTTAATGGCAGGAAACTTTCCTCAAATCCCAAACATGTCTTTAAAAGTGAATCCCATTTTTACATTTCACTCATTGTCATTTGCTTGTTAAAATATCTCTATATATTTATGCTGACCTATACCTTTAATTAACTTCAAATCCCAGGTAAGCTGTCTGCGCTGCAGGCTCAGATGGTTTTAATATGCTACTATCAAGCCGTCACAAACTGGGCAGCTAATCGCTCCTGTCACCTGCGCCACCTCGCTGAGCCGCTCAAAGGAGAGAGCCATCTCTGATAAACGCCAGCCAAACTAAAAACAAACCCTCAGCTTCAAAGTTTAAATGAAAAATTTCCCCCTTTCTCTTTTTCTGAGGCTTTCCCTTTTACTGTCTGGCGGTGGCTGAGCGGAAAGAGATCCGGCTGATGAGTCTTTTGACAAACACTCTGGCTGCCGCTGAGAAGCCCACCTCCGGTCCGGCTCTCCTCCAGGATTGCTTGTGTCTTCCACGCCAGATATCCACCTAATTCTGCCTCAAAATGGATGACTGTCTTTTTCTGCCTGCCCATGCTGAGCCGGGAGATTAGAGCAATCAGATTAGGAGTGCTGCTGACCTGCAGGCAGAGAGAGAGAGAGAGAGTGGCGAGCCAGAGTCATCTGAAGCTCTTCTTCCCAGCTTAATGTTCTCCATTACTTCAGCTTGTTTGTGAACCTGTTTCTCTAGATGTCGCTCGACTTTATTGTCCTTAGATAAAAGGTAAGCATGAGAATGAACTGCTATTCCTTGTGTACCAACTTGGCATTTATGTGGTTGCTGATTGTCACGTTTGGCACAGTGTCATGATAGATTTTACAAGATGCTTTCTAATGGTTTTTACAGCTCTCGCGGTGTGTATTAACTTAGTTATTTACAGCAGCCTTTCCATGGTGTGACATGTTCGCCACAGAATTTCTGCATTTATTCTACAAGGAAATCCTGCTCTGTGTAATTACTGTTTGAGCAAGAAGGTGTTTTCAGAGAAGTCAGACACATAATGATAGCCTTTAGCCTCCTGCTTTAGTCCTCCAGTTCCTTTTTGTTTTTCTAGACAAGTGTTTGTGTGGCTGCTATCCTCAGTCTGGCTGTGAGCTGTAATCTATTGGACATGTCACTCTGAACAAATTACTCCTCATATCTTAATATGTTATTGCCTTTTTTCCCCCTCGATGTCTCCCACATTCATTTGTCTGTTGGAATCTACAAAACAAAGCAGGTTCAAAACGCATTTGTCTGTATGTGAGCACACATAAGACGTCATACTCGTGTATTCTGGATACCTGCGTAGGGGAATAAGTTTGATGATTTTTATAATGTTTCCAACAGTTTTACCTCTGAGTCAAAATCCACACAATGGACCAGCCAGCCAGGTGGTGTTTAAAAATATGTTAACCTGGGAAAGTTCCAAAGACCGAGAGCCAAGGCTACCCAGGAAGAACTCCAAGAGTGTGATAAGACCTGATAAGGTCAGGTTTTAGGTGAAGTCAGGACAAAAGCAGAGGAAACCTAAACTTATTTCCCCATGAGGAAATGCTTTTTTGCGCCTATCAGTTAAACTGTAGAAGCATTTGTGTTGGTATGTAGTTTCTGTGTACGACGAGGATCTGCTGTGGAACAACTTTTACATTTATCAATGATAATTATCAATCTGTTGCTGTGTGGTTTCATGTGTTTCCTGGAAAATGATGACAAATTTAAGAAAAAAGAGCCTTACAATCTGAAAAAAAGCCAAATTAACTGTTCAGATACCCCTTCCCTACTCTTTCCGACACGCGTTTTTTAACAAAATCTTTTTAAATGGCACAGAACCTGTAGATCAAGGGAAAAAAAACAGCATTAAGGCCACCTTTTAGAAGGGATATTTTTCGTCATCGACGTCTGCGACTTTTAATCTACCTTCTACATTCTGCTCTGCTCCGCTTTGTTTTCCCAAGCACACCTGCACAAACGGGGGAGTCAGCAGGTCACCTGCTGGTTGCTGTCAATGAGCCGAGCGTCAAAGCAGCTTATTTTTTTTTACTACACATATTCTGCAAATGAAAAAATAAATAACTTTAGTTTCCAGAGAAGACAGTTCCATCAAAATGACAATAACATTTGGTGATTACATTCTACCGCAGATGTAAACCTCTACACGACTCAGTCTGGGGTATTTCTGTTTAAGGCACAAGTAGGAACACAAAATAATCTGTTGTTGTCCATAATAAGGAGGGGGGGGGGGCTTTGTCTGATCAGCAGATCAGTGAAGATCTTTGGTGTCATATCAGTGAGTATGTCGTGAAGTATTTCCTCTGCCTGTCATGCCTAATCTGCAGGTTCTTCACAGTCTGATGACCCCTTCCAGGGGCTGAGCTGCAGAGTGATGAAGACGGGCTCTCAAATCCGCCTGTTACTGTGGAAGAACTGGACTCTTCGCAAAAGACAAAAGGTTTAACTTTTTACTGCAGTTCCCTGATCTGTACATAGACTCAGTATTGACCCGAGGTGTTAACCAAAGGGTTTCGATCTCCGGCTGTTCTGCTGGACTGCTCATTCACTCTATATTCCTGTTTCATTCGGTTCTGTCAAGGTCCGCTTCCTTGTGGAGATCTTCTGGCCTGTGTTGTTATTCATTGGTCTGGTGTGGCTGAGGAAGGCCAATCCACTATATCAACAGCATGAGTGTAAGACGAAATTCCTCATCAGTGGCTCTCATTCATTTCATGGAAAGACAGAAAATACGTTTTTGATGAACTTTTTAGGATCTTGTAAGGTTGGGTTACTTGTCCTTACACATGCTTCAGCAGAGTGTGTCTCTGTTCAGGTCACTTCCCCAACAAGGCCATGCCCTCAACAGGGATTCTCCCCTGGATCCAGGGCATATTCTGCAATGCCAACAACCCCTGCTTCCGACACCAGACCCCGGGAGAGTCCCCGGGCGTGGTCTCCAACTATAACAGCTCCGTGTAAGTATAATCACAGCCGTCCTGGACCCGAAGCGCCAAACCGTAGAATCCAAACCACCGTTTCAATGCTTCTCACCTCGTGTCTGTTCCAGACTGGCACGCTTTTACGTGGACGCCCAGGAGCTTCTGCTCAACGAGGCAGACGTCCGGCAGTTTGGCCAGCTTTGGAATGAGATGACATCTTTCTCAAACTTCATGGAAACCTTGCGTAGTAACCCTTCTGCAGTCTCAGGTAAAAGGCAAATGTGAGAAGTAAACTGGTCAATAAAAGCTTATTTTTCCCCAACTTTCTATCAATTCTAAACAGAAATAAAATAGCTGAGATTCTGGATTAAATTCAGGACAGATGTGAAACCAAAGACCAAACTGATGCTTATCTAAACTGGTGACCGGAGGAATCCATTTATTTATTTTTCGATTGTGTATTTTGCCACTCGTCCAAATAATGCGAAGCATATGACCTGTGCACAGATCCCGCAGAAACAGTGTTGTATAAGCCTTCATTTCCTTTTTTTCATGTGTAATTTGTGACTGTTGCACAGTGTTAGCTTTGTGTCGTCTTTCGCAGGCAAAGGATTTTTACGACCAAGCCAGAAGGCACAAAGAAAAAAAAAAAAAGAGTCACTCACATATTTGTGTAAACATTCAGTTCTTTCCTGCCAATTTGTTTTTGCTGTGAATCATTTCCTCTGAGCCCTCCAAAACTTTACCGGTCAATATTGCTCTGTGCAGCTCTGACCTTTCACTATTTGGGTTTTTTCCATCTAGGCCGCGGGATGAGGATAGGAGATACTCTGAAGGATGACGAGGTTCTCACAGCTTTCCTATTAAGAGACGTCGGCCTTTCGGAGTCTGTGGTTTATCAGCTTGTCAATGCCCAAATACGTCTGGAGCAGGTGAAGTTAAAAACTCAACTGAGTCAACCTGGCCTCTGCTAGGGGTTTCCAAAAATGCATTTTCTAAAAATGATGTGAATCTTACTCATTTTAACACAACTTTTGATATGTTTTAGTTTGCGTTCGGCATCCCAGACCTGCAGCTGAAGGACATAGCGTGCAGCCAGGCCCTGCTGGACCGCTTCATCATCTTCCCCAGTAGGATCGGGCTCCATGGGGTCCGCAATGCCATGTGTGCTCTCAGCCAGCAGAGACTGCAGAGGATAGAAGACGTCCTTTATGCCAACCTGGACTTCTTCAAGATCTTCAAATTGGTTAGTAGCTTGTTTTGGAAGCACTTCGTACAGTTGCAAGGAGGAAAATCCTATTCCTGTTTTACTTCCTGAAGGGCCATTAGGTTCCAGAAGGTTCCCAGTCGTAATTGTTTTGTTCTTTCCTTTATTTCTCTAAACAACTATTTGAATAAATTAAAAAAAAGCCACAACTAGTCTGATGTTGGTGGGAATGAAGGTGGCTCCTGTGGCATTTGTCTTCCTGCACATTGTTGAGATTTTTAAAATTGTCAGGTGCATTTAGAGTGGACTATTTGCAGAGGTACATTAAAATGTAGTTTTTGGCATTTAAAAGTCAAAGTGTTACAACTCCTGATTTGCACGAATCTCTTCTAGAAGTTTTCAGTTCAGGAGCTGAATAACAATTCATGCTTTAAATCATATTTTGGGATAAAATGAAACATTGGTGCTTGTCCTGAGCGATGTTTCAGGACCTTAACATGTGACTCGAGGCCTGAGAAGTAGTTCTTTGTCAGGTATGTGCTGGTGCAAACACTGCGTGTGCTGCCCGGAGGCTGATTTTGGCTCGCCGATGACTCTGCTGCATCTGTGCAGCTTGTTGCTGGCGTGTGAGGTTTGGCATGAAGCACACGCTCTGTTGCAAATCATTCACTCTAAATCTAAAGACCAAAAAAGACAAATCCTTTTTTCAAAGCGGTGCTAGAACTCATTTGTTGTGCTGTTAATGGGTTGGAAAAGCTCATTTAGCTAATTGAAACAGTCGCCAGATATATTATTTCTAAGAAGAAGGATCCTAATGAAAAATCACTGAAATTGTAAGAAAATGAACAGCTGACTCAGGATAAAGCAATACATCCCCAGCAGCATGTGATAGGTTAAGCTTATAGACCTATAAGAAAACCTCAGGTTTCTTTACTATAGGTGTGTGCTCGGGGTTAGGCTGAGAGAGTCAGCTGACTGGCTCAGGGAATTCATATGGCATTATCCGCCTTGGCCTGTTTCTCTAATGGGCTTAGCTGGGGTGTGCCAACAGCCTGTGAGGTGTTCAGCAATAAGGATGCTGCATTGTCTCATACGAACTCATGTCTTATTATTACTATGCATTCATTTTCTATACATACTTAGTCCAATTCAGGGTTGTGGGGGTGCTGGAACCTGTCCCAGCTGCCATTGAGTGAAAGGTGGGGTACATCCCGGATTTATCTCCAGTCCTTCAAAGTGCCACACAGAGACAGATGAGACAAACAGCCATGCGTACTCACTCTACAGGTCTATTTATTATGACCAGTTAAGCTTAAAGTCTGGATGCTGGAGGGAAGCGATATAGAAGCAGAACCCACTCATACAGAGACAGAACATGGAAAAAGTCCCTGACCTGCTTTACCTCAGAACCAGGAACCCTTTTGCTGTGAGTCAACCACTACTGGCTGTGTATTGTGTAAATGCCTGGACTCATGCACTACAAGCCCACCTCCAAACTTCTCTGTCAGGACTATGCGTTCACTTGTGGGATTTCACTGGGGCTGGAACCCATCTGAACCAGCAACTGTCCTCCCTGTTTGAATCTTTTTCCCATTATTAGTTTTTTTCAGAAAAGCGTAAACTTACCGTTTTAGGCCGATAAGTTACGTATACAGGCTAATGTTTTTGCAGTGTGTTTTACACAACCTGAGCAGTTGAAAGAAACTCTGACTTCCGCTAATGATTTTGAAGCATTGGCATGTCTTTTGTTCGCATTTGCAAAAGCAGTGAACGTTTTAAAGCCCCGATTTCTGGCACTGGAAAGCACACCGTGTTCGATTCCTCCTACTGATTGTTGCAAGTGCGCCACAATAGGGTCATGTGTACCGTACTCTCAGGACTCACAGTCAGTTTTATTTTTTCTCAGTTCCTTTGGAAATTCCTGTGGTGTCAGGACAGAAACATGCAGACAGATCAAAACTAACATTTCTGGTTCTCACAAACCACAAACCAGAAATGTATTGAATTACATTAATCCGGCATTAGGACTGCTTGAAATGGCCGTTTCTCTAGGTGTCACTTTACATGACCACAGGGTGTCTTATGCCTCTGCACTGTATTTACAATACTGACTTTCATTAGATTTTTTTTAACTGCTCATAGGGGAAAATGAAAATAGAACATAAGATAGTGCTGAAAATTTCCAGTCATGTGATATGTCTGACACTCACAGGAGTGTATCAGCTCTCCTTTGTACTACATATCATTTTTCATAAATTACCTCTACACGTCAGCATTTGTTCTCATTGCAAAAACAACAACTCGGTGGCGATCCACATTTTTCTCTCGTTTAAAACAAACTCCATTACTGCGCTGACCTCTGACGCCACAGTTTTTCTCCTCTCATTATGCTCTTGACTTCCTTCACCGATCAGCCTCTCAAAGCCCTCCCTTCTTATATTCTCTTACTTATTTCTTCTCCACACATTGTGCTGCCTCCCTGCATCCTTCATTCACTGAAATGAAGGTACCAGGAATGTGAGAGGAAGTGCGTCTCATGCCCGTGTTTGTGTTGGCACACAGCCTTTCCTTCACCTCAGCACTTTGTCCTGAAAAAGCCATTTTTTTCTAACACCAGCCGCTGAGGATTTCCCAAAGAGATAAGGTCTCTAAAGGACTTACAGGGGAATATTTTTACTGTGATTTCATATCTAATATTTGATTTGTGTCAAGTTAAAGAAAGGTTAGGAATTCTTATTGCTACAGGTCGAATCCAAAGTGAATTAAAAATGGAGATGTGATAAGTTGATATGTTTTTGCCCAGTTAGTGACCAACTGCAGTCGATGTCAGAAAGAATTGTCAAGATCTCTTGGAGCTCTTAAAAGTTGCTTTATAACTTTTTTTTTTGCATCTTTCAGTGTGAGCTCATGACTCAAAATGTGCACAGTTCGACACCATGAAACAAAAGGCCATTTGTGTTTAAATCTAATATTGTATCTGTATTGATCAAAAAACATTCTGAATATTTTTACGAAGCACATCGTATGTCTTTTTCTCTCCAGATGCCTCAGGTTCTGGACAGCAGATCTCAGGGGATTGACCTGCATTTCTGGGGTCTGGTTCTCAAGGCAACGTCAGAGAAGATCCAAGTGGTAAGTACACCCAAAGCCATTCCCCCTCTCCACTGCTGCTCCTTCGCTCTCCTCCTCTCCCCCTCAATCCTGCAGGATCATGACCACCAGTATTTTTAGTCCTCCAGGAAGCTCGCCTTTTCCGCTCATCCCCGTTTGAGGGCTGGTCACAGAATGGGCCGAGTGATGGGCTCCACATGTGTTACTGATCAATGAAAAATAGCACCGCGGAACTTCATTAGATGACGCAGGAGAATGCGAGAGAACATTTCCTGTATAGAAAAAGGTCAAGAAAAGAAAATCAACCCTGTTGATTCAGCTCTGTCTTGTCAGTTATATGTTCCCATCAGAGGAGTCTAAGCATGTGTTTACCTCTTATCGTAATGAATTAGCTGCATTCAGGGGCCTTAGCAGAGAAAACTTTACAATTCCAGCTATAACCTGCTAATTAAACCTTGAATGGTTTTGAAGAATGATGAAACGTTTTTAATCATCTCTCGTGTTGTGGAGTGCTTTAAAGTGGAGTTTCTTACAGCATGCACACGCCCATCGGCTTCTCAGGAGCAACAAAAGAAACATAACCTCTCTGAAGCAACCTGTGCACAGAGATTAGCAACAAAAAAAAGGTCAACATGGGCCTTATTTTCTTAGAGGAGTTGCAGAACTGCTGTTTCCTTTCAAAACGCCTCATTCTAACACACTGAGGGGACAGAAATGATTGACTTTTTCCAAGAAAGCCAGAAATATTACAGCCATTAAGGTCTGTGTGTGTGTTGTGAATTCTACCCAGTGGTACACACTCACACAGGGAGCAAAAGCCCGTGATGAGATGTGTGTTTCGGCACGTTCACTTCATGTCCCGGGGGGAGTGTATCCCATCATCACCTTGGCCAGGGATAATAAAGAGAAAGAGCTGGGTGGGAGGCAGACGGAGAAAGAAGGACGATAGGAAAGAGGGACATTCCTTTGAGGTGACACATCCTGTAGGTGGGACCTTTGTGTCACCGTGGTGACGGAGAGGCGAGCCAAATATTCTCATTACCCACCTCTGCTTCCTCTCAGCTCTGTGTGTGCATGAGCGAGAAGTAATAAATAAGAAAAATAAAGGAAGAGGGAGTGAGTTAGGCAAGAAATAAGGCATTTGTGTGTGTGTGTGTGTGTGTGTGTGTGTGTGTGTGTGTGTGTACATTCATATCTAGGCTAGCTTTTGGGGAATGGGAAATATTGGAACAATGAACCATTTTTACTGTTGACAAATCTGGGTGTTCAACTTTGTTAATCTTAACAATTATTCCTGACAGCGTTCAGCCCCACCCAATATTTTTCCGAGCATGGCATCTCAACTCAAAACGCTAAAATTATGACCGTTGTGAAATATCTGGAGCGTCATTTTTCTATCCACACCAAGAATAATTCAGTCCAATATTCCCTTTAAGAGAAGATGATGCATCACGGAGGATCGTACATGCGCAAAGCTATTTTTGTCCCGTCAATAGGAGGATATTTAGTCAAGCCTTTCACTATCCTCATCATGTGAGGAGGGGCATCAGTCCAACCAGTCTGCTTATCTTCCAACTATTGTTTTCATGTGATTGTTTATATTATGAAATTCACAGGGCATGAATGGATATAGTAGACACAATTATCGCTACCTTGTGTGTAATTACCAGATGAAGGTGAAATAGCACAGAACTAATTGTTAGGACTCCCCAGTAGTCCCATTCATTAGTCTTTCTGGAGCTAATGAAGGATGTTTAGTTTCTCTAGACATCAATGGATTAGGAGACATCAGCAGAGATGCAGCAGGTTGAAGAGTAGAAAAGTTCTATTTCACTCGGTAAAGCTGTATCGTGTACAGCTATTTGATACATATTGTGAATATTGATGTCTTAGACACTTTTAAGGCTTAATTCGGAGAAATTCACACCGATTTTGTATGAGTAAAAAAATGAATACTTTGTCTTTCACAGCTGATTGAGCGGGAGAGTTCCCAAGAGCTCCTGAAGGCGGTTTCCTCTCTGTTTCAAGCTGGGGGTCCATCCACTTTCAGCCAGCTGATGTCCAGTGTTTCCAGCCTCTTCTGTGGATATCCCGAGGGAGGGGGGTCCAGGGTGTTGTCCTTCAACTGGTATGAAGACAACAACTATAAGGTGTTCCTCGGCGTGAACGGCAGCAAGAGCCGCAACTACGTCTACGATGACACCACTAGTAAGCTGTGAAAGTCCCAATACGCTTCTGATGTGACTGTGTGCAAACTGTAGATGTATTTTATATTCGTCCTGTGTTGGCGAATACACTGTCCCCACTGGTTTGCTTTTCAAAATGGAAAAGGACCATGATTTCGGAGATGTTGAAACTAAATAAGTGCTTATGAATGACATTTATTGCCCCATACAAAGTTGTCCCAGAGCTTATTTGAATGGTGGAGTTAAAAAATCCGCTCTTCCGATGGCACTTTTTTCATCTTTTGCATCTGCATTCTTCTTCTCTGAGGTTTTAGTTGTGGTTATTTGTCCTTTTTTCCCCTCAGCTCCGTTCTGCAACGCCCTGATGCAGACCCTGGAGTCCAACCCCATCACTAAAATTGTGTGGAATTCGGTCAAGCCCCTGCTGATGGGAAAGATCCTGTACACTCCCGACTCCCCTGCTGTCCGCAAGATATTAAAGAGCGTAAGGCAGTCTATGTCCAATCCGACCTTTCACCTCTTACTTTTTCTCAACCCCCCCCCCGCCTCCTTCTCTCTATTTCCATTTCTTTCCACACACTCAGTATCTGTACAAATGAAGCAGCCCTCCACCCTTCTGTGGAATGAGCTGACTACAGGCGCAAAGTAGAGCAGAGGGGTGGGGGGGG